CTGATACTTGGATCACAGATATAATAGCCTACGCTAAACGAATACTTAAAGGTGAGGATATTCCTCCTCCCTCCCATAGATCAAAAATCACGGGATCCCGGGACCCCACCAAAGATAATCCGGAACTTACTAGAGAAGAAGAAACAGCCTTAGCACGTTTTCGCACAGGTGCTTCGCATCGCTATGGCTGGTTGCTGCGAAAGATAAAAACCCATATTCCCTCTGGTTGTCGATGGTGTAATCCCCAACAAGTCAGTACGTCGACACCCGTCATTCCACCTAGCCAAAAACGACCGCGCTATGCACTAAACAAAGCAACAGACCCCGCCACCTGCACTGAATGCGGGGCACAATGCTCATGCAGGAACGCCGCAGCACAACACACGGTCAACAAACACATGGGTTAAAGAGAGCCGATGCGCTCTGGAAGGTCAAATTCCCCCATGAGCCACCTCCGCCGGAAATCCCGCCAGAACCCCCGCCACCCCCACAACCCCCACCTCCGGACACAACGTTGCCCCGTCCAAATTCGCCCAAAGCAAAACTCCATCCGTTTGCGCGCAGTATGTGTAAACGAACATTTCCGCTCCAAAACGGATTAGCGCGCCACCTTAGATACATGCACAATGTCACATGCCCTGTCCCAGAGAGAAAACGCCCGCGAGCCGAGGAACCGATTCCAGAGGAATCAGCATTTCCCTGTGACAAATGTGATATGATCGCGCGCTCAAAAACAGCCCTCAAATCCCATATTGGAGCAAAACACCCTGAGAACCCCACAAAGGACGCACCTCGCCCTCAGCTCATCCCGCAGCCTGCTCCACCGCGCCGCGAATAGTGTTCACGCGATTTCGGCCACATTGGAGCCCTCGCATGCCGCAAAAAGTTCAAGCATCCTCCCGGAACCCCAATTTTGCCAGCAACAACACAAGCAACCTTTCCCCGAAATAAGAAACGCCAGCGAGATACGCCGCCACCGCCGGGGCGTGAGGACAGAGAAAAAGTCCAATGCGGAGTCTGCCAGAAGTTCCACGCCCACCTAGACTTCCCCCCGGGGCCCAGCCCCGTCGGAAGTGCTGCGAGGGGCGTTTCCGCTTCTTCCGGGGCTCCCGCGAGATTCTTCGCGTCCGAAGTTCCTCGCGGCGCTGCCCCCTTCCGCTGGCATGGCGCGCCCGGGCCCCGTTCCTGGAAAGGACGTGGCGCCCCTCCTGCCGCTTTTTGTCCGGGTTTCTTACGGCTTTAAAACAAAAACAAAAAAAAAAAAAAAAAAGGAATAGAAGGAAATGTTATCAGAAAAGAAGCCCAGTGAAAGCAATAACCGCGTCCCCCCTCCCTCGCGGGAACCCCGTTTCTTTCCGCACCTTTTTTTTTCCATTTATAACAAAAGCGCCGAAAAAGAAAAACTACAAAAAAAAAAAAAAAACCCTGGTTTTGTATCCCGTGCGCCGTTGTCCCTCCCCCTTGTCCTTTTGGCACCCCCGCCCCGCGCCATTTTCAAAGCAACGTTCGCATATACATATATGAATAAATATATGTTGATATCCGCCTGTGTGTGTGTGTTTTTTTTTTTTTTTTTTTTTGATTTTTTTTGCTATCTCCAGCTTCACCCGGGAATTTCTCTACCGCTTTGTTTTGGTGGCCGTGCTTCGCGTGCCCTTTATATTCTCATCGTTCGGTGTTGCCGCCGGTTTTTTCTCTATTGTAGCGCAACTTGGGACGAATCCCCTCGGAACTTTTTTTTGGAGGTTTGGCATACGTTTTGGTTCATTCATCTTCCGCTTGGCCTCTTGGTCGCTGCGCACATACTCGTCCCGCCGCCTGCGTTCCTCAATCTCGCGTCGCCGGTTTTGATCTGCAGGTATAAGAAATCCCGGTCTGACAGACTCGTCGTTGCCGGTTGAAGCGGCGCCGCTAAAGAGTGGCGCGAGCACACTCTCAACGTTAGATTTCTTCTTGTTGTGACCTTTGGCCTCGGCGTCCCAAATGCGTAGCGGTAGTGGCCGATTCACTGGGACGCGGAAATGGCAGTTGCGGGCTCCAGCGGCGTTCCGCGCGGCATACTTTTCATACCGTTCATTGCGCATTTCACCCTGGACTTGCGAATGCGGCTCGTGCGAAAGCGCATCGTGTGTAGCCTTGCGCGGCTTCGAGATGATGAACTGCGGTGGTATCTCGGTCATCTGCCCTGCGCCCTCGGCAATATGTGTGGCATAAGCTGCCTCTCTTTCACTGCTATTGCTCTCCATGCTTCTTCTTAATGTTGTCATTATTGTCAGTAATAATAATATTGTTATTCGTGCCGCTTTCTTTTCGACAGTCTGCGACCCTTTTAACTTCACTCGCGTTCCCTCGCGTCTTTTCCTTTTTTTTTTTTTCTACTGAATCCCTTGGATACCGCCCACACTTATCCCTTTAATTTAGTGCACTAAACTATTTTCCGAGTCTACCTTTTTTAGCAGACGCGTGATGGAAAGAAAAGATGATAAACAACGAGAAAAGGGAAAGAAGTTCCCACCACAAACACCCGGAAAAATAATAATAATAATAATAATAATAATAATAATAATAATAATAATAATAATAATAATAATAATAATAATAATTACCAAAGACCTAACAATTGTCTGGTCAAGAAAAGAATAATTACACCACCACACACGCAGAGACACAGACATGCAAACACAAACTCATCATGAGAAACACCTGCTTCTCTATATTTCCATTTGACAATACGATTCAAAAAGAAAAAAAAAAAAAAAAACAGATAAATCACACACGCGTGGATATATACAGGAGGGAAACAAGAGGAAGAAAATAAATAATGCTACTGTCTAAGGCTGTATATTTTTTATTCTCATAATAAAACTTCGTATTTATTTTCTTCTTCTTCTAACTATACCATTCATGATCTTTGTAGCAATTTCGACACATCTTTACTCCCTTGTCAAGGTCCACCGTGCAGTTTTCGCACATCGCAGATCGACAACGAGAACATAGTTCCCGCGAAAATATGCCAATTCTCTTGTGACAATGATTGCACACTTTTGAATCATTTTTTGTTTGGGGTGAACTCACTGGTAGCGGAGCACGTGGTACATTGATATTCTTCAGTAAATTTCGCATCTCTACAACGTCTTTTCTGCGCAAAACACAGGAATCCTTCAAAAATTTATCAAAATAATATTCCCACGCATCATGAAAAACCACCCGCTTTGCTACTTGTTCAGATTCCTCTCCAAGGTCTAGGGAGTAGCGGTCCTTATCATATCGCAAGTAGAATGATTCCCAGAAAACGATACGTTTGCTACTACAACTTGGAGAAATTCTCTGAATACCACATCCTTTTTCTTTTGAAATATATTCCCATGCTGTGACAGAATCATATGAGTCGTTCACAAAATATAGTGGAGATTCACCAGCTCGTTCTCGCCGTGCGGCACAGCAGATATCCGTCCATACAGACGCAGTGTTAAGGCGCACACCCTCAAACATCCGCTCTCTCTCCCCATTGCAAAGAAAAGTGCCATACAGACAAGCGTATACCGTCTCAGCAAGGTACTCCAATAATTTTGGGGTGAATTCAAAATACCTTGGAAACTGGCGTACCACTTGAAATACCACATCCATCCAGAGCAAAAAAATAGGTGAAGGCTGCAATTTTCCTGATGATGATGATGATGATGATGAATGGACATCCGTATCGGATGCGGAGACGCCATTATCAGAGACGTAGCTTGTATCGCCATACACTTGATGTCCACAACGTTCTGCAAACTTATGTCCAAAGGAGCAAAATTCCTTCTCCACAAGGACACAAAAACCCACAATAGTTCGATAAAAAGGATCTAAAAGTAACATCGCAGTAGCAACACACTGCGGAGTTCGATCCCAGCCGTCTGTACAATGTACAAGATATGATTCCCCACGGTCAAGACCTCCAGCAATTTCAGAAGAGCACATTAGAATGCGTTGAACATGACGTAACCATTTTGTATCATTTAGTTGAGAGAGAAAGTCATCTCTGGGTTGTTTTCCATTAAATTGTTGAATAAGAGACTTTAGTTTTGAAAAGGATTGCATGACACCGTGAATATTTTCAATACCATGAAATTTTACTTCACAGAAACTATACGATGGACCGCTTTCAAAACCTCCTCCTAATTTTTGATTCGCCCAAGCCGCTGCCTGTGGGCGACAATCTGCTACAACAAGTGTCCGTTGTCGCCGCGGCATCGGAACCACATTCTGCTGTGTTACACCAGTCATCCGCAGTTCTCCTTCTTCTGAATTGGTCTCAAAAAGGGAGGGCGGTGGAACCATCTTATTCCTGCTGTTACCGTTACCTCCACCACTGCCTATTTCAGAGGGACCAACCGCCAATGGTTCCCGTCTAGGCTCTGCGTTGTGTGCGTGGTAGCCGTTGTTCGTGAACATGTGACATAATTCACTATCTTGCCGCAACTTCGGTGATTTCAAAAGGGGCTGAGAAGTGCGGGCAAGCACAGCGCCAGTTGCGAGATGCACAAACGAAATCGCAGGGAAACGTGCCCGTGAGCGAGCTGACATGGCGTCCTCAATTAGATTGTCACTCGCCGCATTCGGGGCCACTACGCGGAAGGGGTATGTTGGGGATTTACCGTAACTGTTCAATGGCTGGTTTGCACATGTGAGTCGAAACCACGGTCGAAGATCTCGTCGTGGACCAACGCGTGACATATCTTCAATACTCGGTACATCACTACCAGGAGAGAGACACAACTGCCGCTCCAGTTCACGGTCCGGATCATACAAATTCCATCCAAATTCAACAGCTTCCAAAGGTTCCGTCCCAGTAATCATGTTTACCCCACTATAATCATACTTACCTTCCCACTCATTACTGTTATGTTGATCTTGCTTTTGTTCTTTATAATTATTCTCACTATCCTTAACCTCGCATCGTTTGCTGTATCGTTCTCTATAAATCGCAAATGCTGGCATTGATTTTATATGCGTCACAGAAAAAAGAGGGCGTAGATCCGATACTGTCCTTGCTACCCGCTCTCCTTGCAATACCACCTCCACCTCCCATAGGTATTTTGTACATATCTTTAGAGTGTGAATAGATGTTTGAACGTTATTTTCCGTGAGTGACGGCGGTGCATCACTAGGGTACGGAGTTGTATCAACTTCTGAGAGCTGCTGACCACGCCCACGCTGAAACACCGCCCGGTACACTGGGGTCATTGACCCACGCGGAACACTCCAGGTCCCAATGGATAAAAGTGGAAGGAAGAAATTAAGGCCACTGCTGCCTTTGTTAGTGACTGGTTGTATTACAACGCGGTAGTTCGTAATACTAAGTGCGCAGCGCACTGGAAGACCTTCTTCATCTGCGTGTTGTGGAAGTGCGGCGGCCTCGCCATCATTGGCGGAGTCACGTATGTGAACATACTCTATTTCACCATCAATAGATCCAATTGGAGTATCTCTCCACATGGTTATGAACCGTTTGTGTACGTGTTTGTCGTTTTCTTTATTATCTTTCCTTATCACTTTTTTTTTTTTCTTTCTGTGTTAGCGTGCAATTTATGTATCTTTAATTCCCTTCCACTACTGAGGAGGGTAACGCAGTGACTACTGGGAAAGCAACCGGTTGACGCCAAATAATAATAAAAAAAAAAAAGAGGAAAGGGGGAGAATGCAACATACACAAGAAAAAATGATATAAAAGGAACAAAATGAACAACAACAAAAAAGAAAAAAACTGAGGAAAAAGGAATACAAATGAGGGAGGAAACAGAAAAACATCAGAAAAAAAAAGGGAGAGAAACTCAAGTCAAGAAACAGCAATAACACCCTCACATACGATGGGATCAACGAAAAGATTTCGTTTAATTTTTTTTTTTTGTTTCCCTTCTCTACTACTGCGCGTAACACGATACATTAACAAAAAAAAATCAACAAGAACAACAATAAATGAGTGAATGACAAATATATATATATATATATATATATATACTCAATACAGAAAAACAAAAAAAGGGACAGACAACTTTGTCTTCGCCTTTCCTCAAAGTATGTCTATATACTTACTTGCAGGCAGAGCGACTCCCCAAGAATCAGGGTCACCAGCAACAATAATGTTGTTGCGCGGATCATAATTGCCATCATCGTTATTGTCGTTGTCAACATTATCACCATTACCTTCGTCTGGTTGACTCTCCTCCTCCTCTTCCTCTTCCCCCTCCTCCTCATCATCATCACGATTGTTGCTGTTCTTTTCAAGAGAGTCAGTACAAACGCGCACTTTGATAGCATCTGTCGTCACCAAACTCTTCACTCCACCTGCAGGGAATCCATTACCGCTACCACTGATCCCGTGACGTTGCAATGGTAGATTAGATGGCGACGATCTAGAGGCTGAACTGGTACAAGACTTCCGCGACGCACGAGACTCCAATGCAACCTGTCGCTGAGCAGATATCACTGAACCTGGATCAGTACCACCGAAATCGCCTTCACTAGAAGCAGCAGCAACACCAGCAGCGGATACAGCAGAAGATGTTTCTTTATTTGTCAATATTAGTGGAAGTGGGGTAATGTGATCAGAAGGCTGTACCAATTGTGTTGTTGCCCCTACCCCATGCCGCAGAAGCAAATCTGCGATACGGGTCTTTGTTGTTTCAGTAAAGAGTGTCCCTCTCCCTCTTGCATCTGCAATGGATGCCGTTGCTCCGGCTTCGGCATCACCACTGCTATCCACCACTGTGATCGCAACTGAATCAACAAAAGCTTTTATGGGTACCCCAGTGATGAGTGAGAATGTACGATCTACCCGTGCTCGCGAGCGTGGTGTTAGTGGCGGTGTACAGATAACATCTGCTTCTATTGTATTACCACCAAAACATTTGGTCATAACGGCATTTTTCAGCTCTGCGGGGGTTCGAGCACTAAATGCATCAATAACATCTACACCTGCATCTTTGGCTATCATTTGTGCCACATCCTCGAAAATGATTAGATACTTCACCGGTGGCAAAATCTTCTGTTCTACATCCAGTAGCAAAAATCCCGTCTCCTCAGTGTCACTAGAGAGTCGTAGCGTCTTAACATCTCCCTCGTTAAGACGTGGACTGAACTGTTTTGAAAGTTCATTGCTTTGGTAACGTCGTTCTAGCAGTTTTAGTGCATACTGCGTGAGACGCGGAAGTTTACATATACCGCCACAGTTTGCAAGTACTACTAACGAGAGGTGCGCCCATGCCACGTGCAGTTCAGTACTATGTTCCCCGTCCGAGACGAAATTCTGCAGTTGTGCCACAACAGTGAGAGCAAACGAGAGTGCGGTGGTACCTTGAGACTGCAGTATGGCCGTTACCAGTCGTCCAACTTCAATAACACATAGTGGTGTCACTGGCTCTTTGCTGCCAACAAGTGACAATACCCAACTCTTCGCAGCGACAATATCCTGTTCGTCTGTGACAAGTTGCCATGGTACCTCATCTGACACATTTACATCGTCATCATCTTCCTCAACATCACTATAGTTGTCATGAGCCTTATTATTACTATTACTATGATTATTATTATTATTATTATTATTATTATTATTATTATTATTATTATTATTATTATGGCTGCAGATTGCGACACGCGGTGGATTGCCGACTATGAGCTCAACCAACACCCGTGCTGCATAAACCTGCGTCTTGTCATGAGCAGCGAGGAACGGCGTGATGGTGCTGACAACTTGCATATCACCACGGTCTGTAGTGGGAACCGTACGCACATACGCGGCGACGGCGAGAAATGCCCGCAATGCCCGCACCGCCGTTTTCGCCGACGCCTCCCGCACACGTGCGAGAAGACCTACAAGAAGAAGATGTAATTGCGGTGCATTTCGCCACTTGTAAGTGGCCCGCATAAGTGCCAGCAGCAACAGCAGGCGCGGTCTCTCCAACTCCGCACTGTGAAGACTACAAACCACATCAAACACAACATGCGGGCGAGTACCGGTCATACACACTTCATCAACACAGACTGTGAGAGCACGAATGATGCCGGTGAGCACCGCCACCTCATCACTATGGTTAACACTGAGACTGCAGAGATGTTGACATACAACAAATCCTAGTTGCTGCGGCCGCCCTTCCATCGCGTGGGCAATGGAGTGAAACATAACAGACGCAGGTGCCGGTGATGTCCATCCATTACGAGCTGTAATAAATTCCTCAGTAAGTTTCAAAAACTGCTGCACACCAGCAACAGAGAGACAACCAACCAGTGCGCCAATTCCCCATGAAGAGACGCTGATGAACGCCATGCTACGCTCTTTCATAGCGGTAGGCATCGTTACAGTTTCGAATGGACCGCTCTTCATCTGACGCAGAAGTAGCAATACGTCCTCAACCTCCTGCAACTTTAGCGAAGTCTCACTCCACCCGCGTAAAGCCTCAAAAAGATTAAGGAGAAAAGGTGTTAAAAGATGATTGACATAGTTTGTCAAGGCACTTTTTAGACAAAAGGCGATATTTCCTACGGCGACTATGGCAGCATAACGACATTGTAAAGCACCTACAGCAGCGACGGGATCATTCTTGTTAATTTTCTGCATAGACATCTTCTCTAATGGAGGAAGCAAGCGATCTTTGCTGTCACTGATGAGTCGACAAGATTGCTCCCCACCGGCACAGTTTGCAAGTTTGTAGCATAAAACAGTCATCACACTCGCCGCCCCGATACGGTACTCATCTGTCGCAGTGTGCGACAACAATGTGGCACAAATCTCTATAGAGTGTGGCACAAACCCACTCACATCATCAGCACGGGCGATAAGCTCGCGCAGCATCTCTACACTAACCATTACTCTCTGCACCTTCTTTTGCTTAAGGTAAATAACCAGAAGCTTGGATATTTTTCGACACACACGTGGGACACGCTCTGGGTTGCTCACGACGTAACTCTGCAGTTTCCCCAAGGCATCTCGCACAGGCCCATCGTGCGGGTCATCTGGGTATACAGCGAGTACAAAATTCTTGAAGCGCAATCCCTTTTGTGGCGCACATGTGTTACCCATCTCTCTCTCTTTTTCTTTTTTTTCCCCCTTTATTTCTTTCTCTTTCTCTAGGTATGTATATATATATATATATTATATGGTATAATACTTCCAACGTACGCGTGTGCCTATTCTGGCACTTTCCCAGTGGCAACCTATACTGTTGCCACCTCCTCCCCAAAACCCTGTGACACCCAGTAAAGGTGGGGTGAAAAAAGCGTAGAAACAAAAAAAAAAAAGGGAAACAAAATAATAGAGGTGTGTAGAAGAATTTCAACGAAGAAAGAAAGAAACAAACAAAAAAAAAAAAAAAAACAATATCAGTACAAATAGAATCACTTTACAGAGAAACACATATTCAAAATGTTGAAATTGATCCAGCTCATTCCGTCACCTACCTTCTCCTTCAGAATAATAATTCTCAAGAGCTTCATTCTCTCTCTCTCTCTCTCTCTCACTCCCCTGGTTTCGTTATTCCCTCCTTTTCCCTCTTACTTCAGAATACCTTCTTGAATAAGTTGATCAATTTCTTTACACAACGCTTGCAGCGGCAATCCCATCACATTGTAGTAGTCACCCTCAATAGAAGTAACAAGACACGCCGCTCGGTCCTGAATACCATAACCACCTGCCTTTCCAATCCAGTTACTGCTATCAGAAACGTATGCGGCGATTTCCGCCTCTGCAAGAGGTGCAAACTCCACTACAGTGCGAGCCGTAAACTCCCGCCAGCGCAGTGTTTCACCATCTCGAACAGCCAAAACAACACCACTCCACACATAATGTTTTGTGCCGGAAAAACTACGCAACATCTGCGCCGCCTCCTCGCTGCAGAGAGGCTTTTCGATTATATTGACACCTCCTCCCATCGCTGGTAGAGTAACAACGGTATCAGCTGCAATGAGAATATCAAATGACGGTGTCGCACCGGAGCTCCTTTCATTCTGTTGTAGCTGATGTACGACACACTCTGCTTTTTGCCGTGCTGTGCGCAATGCGTAGTCACCTCCGCAAGTGAAGTCGGCCTTTGGCAGGTCCTCTGCGAAGCTTGACACACATACTTCCACGTTGGGCAGCCCCAATCGCCCTAGTATTTCCAGCCGCCGTGGTGAACCAGAGGCCAGTAGAATTCGTTTTTTCTCAAAGAGAGTGAGGTATTGTAATACCATTAGAGCCGCTCTCCACCCCACACCCACAACGGTTACTTTCTCTATTCTTGTATTTGGAAGTGGAGTTACTCCTTCTTCTTTCTACTTCCTCCCTCCTTCCTATTTATTCACCAAAGTTGATAATAAAAGAAAAAAAAAGAAGAAATTACAAGAAGAATATTATAAAATGGCAGTATTTAAGTAGCCATGTAAATATCCCTTTTGTCTATCATTTTTTCTCATCTTCAAATTAATACTTATCGATTTGCAAAACCAATCCCAGAAATTTCTCTCTAATGCAAATTATGGGTAAAATTCAGCAATGTCACCACATATCCAATTAAGCAGAAAACATGTTCCCCGCAAGCATCTCAACAGTGATGTACTCAATTCTACATAAGGAATAAGAGTCTCTCCTTTGTATTCCTTATCGACAAGGTTTTCTTTGACGTCTGCCTTTCTCGACACTATTCTCACGGCTACTTTCACTGCTATCTGAACTCTCTAGCCGTTCCATAATGCGACGACGCAGAATAGGCGCCACATATGCCACTGGAAGTTCTTTTGTGCTAGTAATTTCGGGTATCGTAGCAGTTTTTTTAGCCCGAGATGCGCCTCTTGTTTTCCGAGGTACTGTGATGCCTTTATTCTCCTCCTCACTTTCATCCTTCTCACTCTCCTCCAGTTTCAGTAATTTCTTCACTTCCCCCAAAGAAGGACTTCTTTTACGGCCTCTCCTTGTCACTTTCTCTGTTGTTTTCTGTGATACAGTTGCTGTTGATGTTGCTTTTGCGGATGTCCCGCGGCGACCACGAACATTCCCCGTTTGTCCATTTGTCTCGAATTGCACATCGTGCAGACGGCGTAGTGGTGTCACAACAATACGGCTCTTCTCCCGCTCCATTCGCTTCGTTTCGCTTTCCACATCCCTTGTAAGTTCACGAGCATCAACTATCACCGTCTCCAAGTCTTGCAACGCCTGCTCAACGTGCTCCCAATGAGGAGGTGTCTCATCCATCGCTGCCGTACATGCATCCTGTACCTTTTTCAAAAGCGAAAGAATAGAAGTAATCTCTGATCTAGTACTGGTGTTGGATGCAAGTACCTCCTTCGCTTGCGCAGCTGCAGACTCTGCTTGCGGTAAACTTTCCCGCAACTCCACTGGGAGTGGTAATAGAAGCGCATCACACAGTGCCAAATCACGACGATGCAATAAGAACTTTGCTGCTCCATCACGCGCCGCATCTGCCTTTGTACGCCAAAGACGTTCCCGCTCCTGCAACTCCGCGGTTATCTTAAAAGGAGCAACATACTCACCGATGTATTCACATTTGGCGCGGTAGAGGTCAGAACTAACATCTTCATGGTTCTCCATCACTTGCTTAACCTTGTCGTGCGTTTCATCCATGTAAACGGCGAGTGCATCAAAAGTGAAGTCTCCTTTGTGGTGTAGCTGTTTTTCAAGCTTCTGCAACTTTAGCTTAACTTCTGGGGGCATTCGAAGTACACTCTTTATTTTCTTCACAAGCTGTTGAACCTGATCTAGTCGACGTTGTGCTTCCTCCCTCATTTCACGGGTTTTTCCTTGTTCCTGTTGCACTTCACGCAGCATCTCCGCTGTGGGTAGCTCACCAAACGTGTTCAAATCAGCATTAATCTTTACTGCCAAAGACACAATTTCAGAAGGGGTAGTGTAGCCGCTAAGCGCCTCAGCCGCTTCAGGAGTATCGGCAATCACATCTTCCTCTGATGCAGGGCGTGTAAAATAGATAACTGAATTTTCATGCTGATACTTTTCGTGTAATTTAGCAATATCAGAAATAAGAACTTCAACAAGAGGAAAAATCTTTATAAGATCGGACTCCTGCAAAAATTCAGTGAGTTTCGCGAACGGTTCAGGCTGATCATCCTCATCATTATTGTTCCTACCCCATTTCCCCCCAGTTTCTGCTCCTCCTCCTCCTCCTCCTATGAGAGTAGCACTTAATCGTCCAAGTAACTGCCAACCATTACGTTGCTGTTTATTTTTTGATGATGATGATGATTTCATTTTCTCTATACAATGTTGTTGCACCTCATCTACGAGTCGCCAGGCGTATGCAATGTGGCCTAGCACAAGGGACATATCAGGAACCTTTGCAGCACGGTTGTAGTGCTCTGCACGGTGGCGGTGATACGCTGCAAGCAGCAGTGTCGGCAACATTTGCATAGAGTCTGACGAAAGTGACGTGGGAACTCTCAAAACGGAAACTTCGTGTGCTAACTTCCCGAGGGTGTCATGTTTCTTTGACACCGCACCAGATGTTGTGGAGTAGACATACTTGGCAAGGGCAGCACATAACTGGGCGTACTCGTGCAGGGCACGAAAGTCAAAATTCTGCCGCACCAAATGTCGGTCTGAAGCAGAAAGAAGTTTATCAGACTCCCCTGCCAGCGCCTGTTCCGCACATAATGCGAGTTCTGCGGCTGCGGTAAAACTCTTGTATGCGGCTTTACTGCTTGCACTGGGTGTTGTTGTTGGGGAACTGCTGCCGCTGATTCTGCGTGGTGGGCTGCATGCCTGTTCCACACGTGCCCGAGCCATTGCCTCACACCCGGCATTACAGTTACTGACAGCCGCGTTGTACAAGACAACAAAGATCTCCATCGCCGGCCCACACACGGGCACAACATTCTTTCCAACATGCACAACGGATGGCGTGAGGGCGTCACGCAACGCAGCCGGCCACGACGCTGTGGCATTATGCAGTGCGAGGAGCAGTGCGGTGTATGCCTTGGCATCCCGCACTCCACTGCTGGCATCACTGTAGAGACCAAGCGGCGACTCCGCGTACGAGGTAAGTGTGTTCAGAGACGCCTCTACGGCGGGTGTTGGGGCGAGACCGAGACTGTGCAGCAGGTCGTGCAACATCGTGTTCCACCGCACAGGGCTTTCGTGTGTGGCCAACGGGAACATAACAGTAGTGTGAATAATGTAGAGGAATGAGAATCCGTAATTTTTTTTTTTTTACTCACTCTTGTTCTCTGTCTGTATCTATGTCCTACTTTTTTTTTTTTCTATGTTTATGTGTGTGTGTGTGTGTTCAGTCAGCACTACATGGAGAGAAAGAGAGAGATGAATAGAAAAATAGATAGATATCAAAGAAGAAGAGGGGAAAAAAAGAGTCAAGGAAACCACACTCGCAGGAAAGAAAAAAAACTCCACACATTCACCCACTCACACAGACACAGACATATTAAATGACATGTATACTACATTTATATGAATATGTCTGTGAATACACATGTGAGGACTTCTCCTCTTATGTGTGTGTGTGTGTGTGTGTGTGTGTGTTTGTTGTTTGTTTGTTTATTTCCTTCTTTCTTTTGATTTCTTTTTTACCGCCTCGTTTCTACAGGACCATATACACTTTATGCAATTGTACAAGATATTCGACGCAGTACCACGAGAGAGCACGCGGTTGTTGTAAGCCCAGGTATCATGTGCAACTGTTGCAGCTCTGTCTGAATATCCGCATAGTTCGCTAGAACCTCCAGAGAGTTTCCCATGCATGTTCGAATGGTGTCGACAAAAGATACCATACCATCCCGGTGTCGCTCACAGCAAACAAAGGCCACACCGCCAGGGCGCAGAAGCTGCACGAGCGCAGGTGCCACATGTGCGGCGATGTCATGATCGTAAACAATATCACTACCAAGCACCACATCATATTGTTGACAAAGTTCCGCAGGAATATCCGCAAAGTCTAAACAAAATGTCCGTACAATTGCTTCTGTTGCTTTTGTCGCATCTCGTCGACTTACTTGTGGATTTTCTGTTAATAGTGCAGCCAACTCAGGCCCATTGCGGGTTGCAAAAGAGCGCCGTACTTCTGTCACGACAGCAGGCGAAATGTCCGTAACGTCCAGACGTGTACATTGCAACAACTGCTGGCAGTTCAAAAGACAAGTGGCAAATACAAGTGACACAAGTGCAGGACCACATCCAACCTCAATAACACGTAAGGAAGCATCCACCTCCTTATTGGGAAGAGTCTTGGGTATCGGTAATAGCAGCATTTCATTCCAGTGCTCAAGTATGTAGAGTGAAAGTGCTACGGCACCAGCCCATAGTCTTGCCCCTGTCTCACCATCTGCGTAATCGGCAAAGCCGAACACAACACGCAGCATCTTATCATGCATCTTCACCCACAAGAGCATATCCGCATCACGTCGCGTAGTCCCACCGCAGCAGTTAGATATCGCCGCTGATGCCACTGCTATGATCTGATGCATTATAGATGCGCTAGTTGCCTCCTCCTCTTCTTCTTCCTCTTCACTCCCATCTTTTTCATCGTCACCATTATCACTGTTAGCAGATAGCACCTCAAATTTCAGTGCCCGTCTAATTATGGAGTTCAAAGAGAGAGATATCATGTCTTGAACAGATCTTTCATTTCGTGATAAACCACTTAGAGCGGTGTACTTGCGCACACAATGTAACAAGGGCAGCAATTCATCCGGTGGTGCGACAGTACTATTCCACCGCGCCATACATTGATGTAGTGCAGTTAGAAGACCGTCAACGTCACCGTAGAGTTGAGTCACTTCCTGTAGAGGGGTGTCATCAGCGTTCTCCAAGCCCACATTAATGGAGTACATCCTCACTCAACTCTCTTCTGCTGGTCGTTATGTTGCTTCTGTGTTTCCTGCTGAGGAAGGAAGAAACAGTGTGTGAAGCCTCACACCACAAGGGGAGCTTACTGCCGTTGCTGGCACTCCCCTCTTACCGTCTTAGCCAAATCTTTGTTTGCCGCATAGAGAAAAACAAAAATAAAAAAAGGGAGAGAGAGAGAGAGAGTCATGACAGAAGCGTGTATTAATAAATTCGACCAAGATGAATAAAGAGGAAAAAGACGAAGAAAAAAAAAAGATAAAACACAAAACCAAAACGGAATACTAAGTAAATAAAAGCGACTAATAGAGAGACAAAAAAAAAAAAACAGATAGATAGACGAAGCAAAACTGTCAGAATGCCTCTTCCTGACTTACCTCCCTTTCCCTCCCTTCTCCCTTTACAGGACTGCATATATATATATATATATATATATATATATTGATAAATATGTGTTTTCTTTTCTTTTATTTTTTTTTTCACTCTCAGAATCAGTGCCTTCTGTCCATATGTACGCAAAAGTAAGTACATTTCCCCCATGTGGGTGGGGTGTTAGGTTTATATTGCAAGCATGCATGGAGAAGAGAAAAATTACACCTTTGTATATGATGCCACATTAATGGTGAGACGCTGTGGTATTACCGTGGCACGTCCTTGTGGCTGAACTTCATTATTAGAGCGATACTCCTGTGGCATCCGCTGTGTGCCCGCCGAGTTACCAACCCCCTGTAGCTGCATAAGCTTACGCAGCGCTGCCGCCTCTCCTCCAGGGAGAGATTGAATGACTTCCCTTAACTCGTTTGCATTTTCCTGCAGTAACTGCTTTGTCAACGCAGCACATGCACTCGGATGGCGTGAACGAACGGTCTCGGCGGTTGTTGTGGATAACAGTAGTAACACCCCGCGGACGAACAGAGTTATGCGCTTCAGCACCTCCGGACTGTGGTTTTCCCGCTGCATTGTCTCACTATGTATAATACTTAGCAACACGTGTTCCACACAGGGAGACCACCGCTGCTGCAACACTGGCGACCGCACGGAGAGACATAACGCGAGAAGCATCCCACAGACTCGCACGGACTCCTGCAGGCGTGGGAATACACGTTGCAGCAACAACAAAGGTTCTTCTGCTTCCTTAAGGGCTTCTGCAAGGCGCATCATCACAGTCTCTGAGAGGGATGTGCCTGTGAGAAGCTCCACTGGGTTACCATTATTTGTGGGAGGGAGTAATAGCATTAGTACTAAACCAGACCGACTCGAAAGCGCTAGATGTTTTTGCTCCACAGTTGATAACTTCTGTACATACTGTGCCATAGCTTCAACAATTTTCTCCTGACATGTTAGAATAGCATTCACGTTGATATGACGCAGTAGGCGTTCAATACACTCCACACGACATGATGCCTGCAACGCAAGACGAAGAGCACCAAGTGAGCCCACACATCCGCGATGGTGTGCTGTCATTGTAGCAAGAAGTGACTCCACCTCTTCTGCACTCTTCTCACACATTGTGGCTGCTGCCATCTCCAGCACGTCTGCCGCATCGCCATCGCTTAGTGCCTCATCGCCCAATTCTGCCTGTTCCCCCATCCCCATCTTCCGTGATGGTTGTGATTGAAGAAGCTTAAAGGAGACCTCCCAAATAATCTCTTGGTGTTTCGTGGAGAGCAGTGGCACGATGCCCAACATGGGCCGCAGCGGCACACACCGCATGCATAATAACAAACACACAAGACACCCGGCGGCGTGCCGCACTGTTGGCCCAAGTGCATTTGCGACAGCACACATGCAACTCAACACCGCAAGCGCCGCTGCTGGTGTGGCATGTGCACAATCATCCAGTGGCGCCGATGCCATATCGTGTGCCGGCTCATACCCGTGGGCAAGTGCAATGGATGTCGTCAGTTGATTGCACATCAACGCCGCAGCGGCCTGTCCGCTCGCTGACGCTATCGTCTCTGCTGCCGCCGCACACTTTCCACTGCAGGCCGCAAGGGCAATGAGAACACGACTTCCCCCGCCGTGGCGCACGGTAGTACTCACACTAACAGATGTACGGGCCGCAACGGCATCGGCGTCGGCCTCACATACATCAAGTGCTGTTAACAACAATGTTAGTGCTGTGGTGATGCGTCGCACTGCAGCGTCATCTGCGACACCACACACAAGAAATGTTTCTGCCAGTCCGCATGCCGCATCACAGCAGAAAACTGCGCGTGAAATGACACTCTGCAGTGCGTTAACAAGCAATACACGCCACGGGAGCAGCGGTGATACACTTAATGTACCATTCACCGGACGACCACCATATAATCGCAGAATGGCGTGCAGTGCAGAAACGGCAGGTGCAATCATACTTGGCATCACCTCTGCTAGTGAGGCGGCCGTGAGGAGTACACGAATCAGAGATGCACGTTTATCAGCATCCATCATCGCAGGGAGATCGAAACAAATTCCCTCATCATACTGCTGTTGTAGTTCTAGTTGTTTTTCAAGTATTTCTGTCATGAGCGTTACCACAGCCACCTTGGATGCCACCTCACTTGTTACTTCCATTGCTGTCTCACCTTTTGCTGCACCTACACCTATTCCTACACCTGCTGTATTTAAACCGCGTTTTTTATGAGCTCCAGACGACAACCGCTTCTCTTCAGCCTCATGGGTGCCATTTGATGAGGAATCCATCTTCATATTTTCTTCTCTCTCTTCAGACTGCTGCGGTGGCTTTCCTCGCACAACGAGTTCCATTTGTTGAATACATGTACCTAAATGACGATAACCATCACAACATGCGTGTAAAACAATGGTACGAGCCAAATTCATCCACGCACCGCGTGTCTCATCAGAAGAAGCTGTATCAATCATAGATACTACTTGTAAGAGAGATACATTATTTACATCAGAACTATTAACAGAATAGCAAGCATCCAATACATTGGCTATTTCTCGCGATACTTCATCGCTAAGGTGTCCTCCTGCACTCTCCATAATTCCCCATACACGTCGTTTCACAACGGCTACATCCAAAACAAATGTATTCGTAACATCAGTGTACGTTTTTACTACCTGCTTGAGATCTTTCACGTTTCGCTGTACCTCTCTCAAGATTGAACTGATACCTCCGGCTGAGAGTGACTGACAGGAAGCGGCACTGTATACAAACTCCCTTACACAAACTCTTATACCATTATCCTGTTGAGGGGGTATATGAAGGGAGAGCATTGAAGATAGCGTAAGCAAAAGAGATGAAACGATTGGTTCAAGGGGTTTTATTGATGCTGGTACTAGTAGTTGTGGCAACAATGTAGTGGAGACAGTAGATTTTATTAAATTTTCATGCTTTGGTACCATACGTATTAGTGCCAAGAGAGCTGTTGTCACAATAGTTGTATCACCACGTAACCCACGTTGCTGTTTCAACACACGAGCTACAAATGAAATGGCCATCGATGCTGTGGGGGTAACATAGTCACCGTGCATCTCACCAAGCGCAAGGATGGTACCACTGAGACGATAGGTTTCAGCATTCACATCAAATCCCTTAACAGCATTAGATGTAAAATCATCACGTCTATCTGTTATTACTGCCAATCGCGCCAATAGTTGTGCAGCTGCAAGTCGCACAACCCAAACATCAGAGGATAACCAATGATCAGTTACGAATACAAACCATTCTTCAGGTGATGATACAGTTAATTTTCTCAGATTCTCGATCTTGCAGTTAGCAAAGATACCATCAAGGCAACGCAAGACATTCCATGCTGTTACTGCAACATCACCATCTATCATATTACGCCACTCAGTAAGGTTATCAAATACACGTTGTAAACACATTTGTTCACCGTTTGCACAACCTCCAATAATTGATTGTACGGCACAGTAAGCAACATGTGCTTGTGATTTTTCTGATACTGCTGGTAACATACGTTGGCGATCATCAAGATATTCTGCCAATACAGCACATGAGACTTGTGGGGGAAAGAGTAATGGGAGTAGCAACATATCATCCTTCTCCCCTTCAACACCTGATGCCACGCATGGCACACCGCTGCGAATAGCCTCTGTCACATCTGCAAGTGCCTGTACCAGAACTCCACGCTTACCAACATCATCCGAACACGCTGACCATAATGCCCCACCAAGAAGCGCATATGCTGCCGCCCGCAGTTGCATTCCCACTTCTCCCCCAGTTGCTTCCACAGCTTCTAGTAGTGCAACTACAAGTTTTAGCTCCAAATCACCTGTACCGAGTTCAACAAGAATACCACATGCAGAGCTTGCGGCACGTCCATAAAGAGGAGCCTCCGATGGGTTGCTAACAAGAAGACTAAGAAATACACGTACAGAGGTCTTTATATTGGCGATAACTGCAGGTGCCAGTCGTTCACGTTGGTGGATGAGCAACAACAGTGCTAGACGGTTAAAGTATGTGACACGACGCAGAAATGCCCCTTCCACACGTGGCGGCGGTGTGTCAATGCTGAGAGACGCCACAACAGCGAGTAGTGTTTCCAGTACGACAGGGCGCCGCAGGAACCATGACGGCATTGCCAACAACACCTTCGCCCGTAATGTAAAGGACGGCATCAACACCTTCTCCGGTTCAATCTCACCACAGGCAGTATACAAATCCCGCAATAACGTCCTTCCGCACATCTCACTTCGTTGAGCCAAGCTCGCCGCAGCTTCACTAGCCGCCTGTGCAAGAGTTGGGTGCCTCTGCGGTACCAAGAGTAACTGCGCCCAAAGCAACACATCAAAGTCACTCGTCGCAACGGTAGTGAGTAACACACCCTCTAAACACAGCAACGCGGTATGTGTGGCTGTCTTTCCCGAAGAAGTATCAAGAAAACGTGTAAGACTACGTACAATGGCAACACGTACCATATCAGAACCTACAAGTGATGCCCAACGTTGCACAGCACGTGAAACTATGGGAGGCATGTACGTTCTCTCATCGTTCCGAAGAGGTACTAGTAACCCAAAAACGCAATTGATAGCTTCATCCACCGATGTCGGGGATGTAGCTAGTATAAATAAAAGTTCACCGATTGCAATGGAAAGAATTCGTTGTGTAGATCGTGTCATTGTAGCATATTGAAATATACGAGCAGTAATACGTGCTGAATCAGAAGCATTAGTAGCAGCAAAGTGACTCCACCCTGCTCCACGCTGGGAAAGAGCCATCAGACGTCCCACTGCGGTCCCCAAATCATTTTGTACTTTCGGAGACATTTCACCCCCTTCTACAAGTCGCATAATAAGATCCAAAAGATTAGTTATTTGTGTCGCATCAGGTGAAAGACCTTCATGTAACAGAACGCAAATAGTTTCTACTGCTTTCCCTCGTATAGCAGGGATGGGACATGTTAAGGATTTACGTAAATATTCAAACCATGGAGATGTAAGGATAATTTTCTGAACGTTGTGATTAGTACACCGTTCTGTATGTTGCTGTTGATGATGATGATAATTCTGTGTTGGGTGTTTTGTATGTAGAATAAGTAATGGGAGTAGCTCAAGAGCTGCTAACCGAGGTGTAATTCCCACTGTTTTCAGAGGATGTGGGAGATGTTGCCGTGGGATACAGTCAATACTCATTGGTCGCCGCTGCAACATTACACGAAGAAGCTGCAATACAGCTGTAAGTGTACCACTCTCGCTGCTACGATCCCTCGCCATCCGTGTTGCAGTATCCCACAACTGAAGCACAAGGTGAGTGGGGTTGGCAGCCGGCTTCGTCCGCACCAGCAGTGCATCCATCGTATCTAACCATGCCTGTACAGCTACAAATGAGAGTTCATCACGCGACACACTTCCTATAGCAAATCCAATAATATCAGAAACAACACCGTCTGAGAGGGCAGCTCGCCACGAACTATCACTCATTGCCAAAACATAGGACTCAATGAGTTGCACCGCCTCTGCGTACTCTGCCTGATGCGGGGCGTATAGTGGTTTTGTTGTCAATTGTGAGGTCACATCCCTCAACTTTTGCAAGAGGAGTGATAATGGGGTTGAGGTTGTGCTGGTGGTAGTGCTCATCCCCACAATGAGAATCAAACAGTCCCAAGAAATGCCACCACTAGCGCTAACACCTCCTCTCTAGAGGAGCAGCAAAATATTTTAATAAGAGAGAAAACAAACAAACAATAAAATATAAAACTACTGAAAAATATAAGAATACAAAATAAGAAGGAATGCAGAAACACCACCCCAAAAAAAATTCAAAAGAAAAAGAATGCAATATGAAAAGTGCAAACACAAACACAGACAGACAGACAGACAGACAGACAGAGAGAAGCTGATGCATTAATCAAATAAAAAAAAGGAAAAAAAAAGTGTTTTGACATTGCAGTGTGAGCGTTAGCACATCACCCCAACGAAGAAGACGAGGGGAAGGGAAAAAAAAAAAAAGAAAATTTGAGCCTTATCACAAACACTCACACAGACATGTTATTGTGTACATCAATCACGCATAAAAAGACGTGAGAAAAACAATAGGAACAACACCAACACCAACACCAACAACAACAACAAAAAAGAAGAAAAAACACACAGAAAACAAGAGACCAACTACGTCTTAAGACGGTCAATAGCAGCGTTCCATATCTCCCTCCATGTCACCTCTCTGGTTGACCACTGTTGAAAACTATCGTTTGTCCTGATGGCAGCATCAGCGGAGGTTTTGTTAAAAAGTTCAACTGACTGTTGTGTAAGGGCGGCGGTCTCCTTATGCAAGAGCGATGCTGGAGCCACAATTGACACAACATCTTCCTTTGGTGGTGAACTGACGCATTCACTCTTCTGACGTCGTCCTCCTCCTCCTCCTCCAGTTACCGACTGCGAATGTGGGGTTAGTGACACACGTGTAAATGTAGGGGCGACATCTTGATTAAGCGCTTCCACAGTAGCGTTGGGATGAGTCGCGTTAAATTCCTCCAATGGGCGGAAGGCGCGGAGTGGAACACGGACGTACTCCACTTCGCGTGTCGACGGTAATGGAAGTGGCCCACTGTTGATATCAATGGTAGAGTCTGACTTCCTACTAACCACCGCATTCTTATCTGCTTGCATCCCACCGTGTTTTTGGCGTGGCATCGTCTCCTGTAAACGGCGTTCCCGTTTTGGTGACGGGGGCCTTTGCGACTGTTGTTGTTGCATCTCTCTTGTACGTTCCTCTCTTTCTTTAAGCCGCAGCAGACGTCGCAGTCCGCGGTGTTGACCGGTAACATCATTATCCGCTGGGGGTTTGAGTTTATCCGGTGTCACGAGTCCCTGCAAGAAGGCAAAAAAATTATTATTCACATTAAGCGCACGGGCAGCGTGCATAGTGGCTTCGTCTTCCATTTCACGCAGTGCATAACCCCAAAATTTTTCAATTGCCATTTCGGTCACCTCTTGTCGCGTCCCTTCTGCACTGCGAAGTGCTTCAAGTTTGTCACGGTTGTAATTTGAACCAAGTGTCACCTTTACAAGTCGATCATAGACACCACGCATCATCTCAGATTCACCATAGAAAGAGGCAAATCCAGAAAACACCGTTTCAACTCGTCGTTCAAGCGCGGTAGCAGACATTGAATAAATAGAACTACTTAGATATACAGGTAGTTTTTGTATCCCCTCAAATACACGTTGCACCTGTTGGCGGTACCGTCGAGTCGCCTGTTCTATATGATGTAAAACACGTTGTTTTTGCTGTCCACAGACGCTATTGGTCTTCTCTATCACATCTTCAAACTGACCTCCAGTCATCCCAGATAAGCGACGTGTGAGGGACGATGGACATTCAGTGAAGTGCTGCCCTACAATCGTTTCAATCTGCGACTTTACCGCAGTAAGCCACTGCCCCACCTCAAGCTCTGCCGGAATAACCTCTGGTAACTCCCCTATAGTATAGAGTGACGCCATAGCACTATTTATTTGAGTTTGTGCCCGTGCTTTACGTGAGACGCGGTTTTGCTGAGGCAGTGAAGCAGCAATCGTTCCCGATGTTTCCATAGAAGTCAGATCGGGTACCGTACCCAGGCGCGGTTCAATATAGTTCTCCTGTGGTACGTTAAAGAACTCCACACCGTACTGAAGACAGTTGAGGTGACGACCGCGTGTGTAGAGTTCCTCACGGAGTGAGTCAAGGATTCGTAATACTTTAGCAACATCACTTGACTGGATCTGTCTTTGAATATCTAACTTCACCTCTGCCAGTCGAGCACCTAATTCTTCTTCAGCGGTACGTGTATGTTCTAATGTCAAAGATGCGATCCCACCGACTTCTTTTCCTCCTATTGTTGTACTACCAATGTTAGAGGCTAACTGTGAGTCTGCTGCAGCAGCTCCATAGTCACGACTAGTGATCTCACATAAGGTATTTGTAAAGTTATGTAGAGGAGTTGGGGTATTGATCTTTTCCTCAAAATCTTTTAATATTTTCTCAATTTTCGCTTCGCTTGCATCAGAGAGGGCAATAAGAGAATGAACTTGTACCTTAAGGCGTGTCAAAACTTCTTGCAAGCGTGCCAGCATCTGCAACTCTCCAACGTTTTGCTCATACACATTACTATAACTAACCCTAGCTGCATCTATACATCGCATATGTTGTTCGTATTGTACTGCAAGTCTTTCCTTAACAGCTTTCGTGACATTGTGTAAACGAATCAGTGTCTCCATAGCCTCTCTAGAGACAGTACCCTCACTACCAAAACTACTACAGTCTTGCACCTCGTCAAGATTTGTAGGAATAACCATACCACAATCAAGCAAATAACTGCGACATTCTGACTCTAATGATTCTTGTTCCCTTGCCAACTCTGCAAGAAGTTTGTTTTGCCGTCGTGTATGATCTTCAACAGAAGATGCGACCAAATTAGCAAATTCTCGCTCTTGTGCGTGCAACAAATTCACAGAATTCGCTGTTTTAGCCTTATTTTCTAGTTCCTGCAGTTGCTCAAAGAACTTTGCGTCATGTTCATCCATGTCATTATTCTCACCAATAGAAGAGAGCACAACCTCCAGCTGTAACGCGCGATCCCGAAGACGTTTAGTATATTTTTCCTCAGTTGTACGTGTGTTTTCAATATCTCGCAGACGTACTTCATACGTTTCTGCCTGTAGTGCTGCTGGTCGTCGACGATGATGGCGTAGCACTTCATTAGTCTCCTTGTCTATCAATGACTTCTGCGATGTACATTCCTCCTGAACAAAGGTACGAGAAGTGCGAGAGAGATCAATTGCCCAATTAAGTATCTCGTATCGCAGCATCTCTCGCCACCTTTCTACAGCATCCACTGAAATTAGTTCCGTTCCATCATCTTCAGAGACTATAGATTTTAGAAGCGTCTCATACGTACGCAAAAAAGCTGGTAATGGTTCAACGATCGGCTCTGGTGTTGAATGTGTTGACTCTGAGTTACTCTGTCGTTTTGCAGTCGTGTTTTTGTTCCGTCTGCCTTCTTGTTGTTGCTGGGGAGGAGGAGGAGTAGTAGGAGTAGCCTTTCGCTTGTTGACTGGGGTTAAAGTACGACCTTTCATACCTTGTCCTGACGTTGTTTCGGACAACGGCAAGGGCGGTGGTGTCTCTATCGGGGTCACTCGTTGCCGGTCGTCTAACGCCATTGGAGCAACGATACAAAACACCTCTCCATCAGCTGCTGTAATGGTAGGATATGATGGTGTTGCGTCTTCTTCATCACTTTCCGAGTGAAGTTCCACTACCACTTCTTTTGCCCGACCACGTTTTGCTGATGCAGCAGCAGCAGCTGCTGCCGCCGCTTCACGATCACGCCGCTCCTGTTCAAGTCGCTGTTCACATGACTCTTCGCTTTCTAGTCCAAGGAGGCGGAGAAGCGCAACACAGTGCCGTTCCACCTCCTCCGGACCTTCTTGCATGATTTGTTGTAGCATTTGCACAGTGCATCGGTGAAATTGTGTGTGTTCCGCCGCTATACGTTCCAGTACCTTGAGACCCTTTACAAAAAGCACCTCCGCTGCTTCCTTCGTGATGGCATGTCGTAGTCTTGCCTGACATTGTGCAAGTTCTGATTCCACACGTTGAAGGGTATCTTCATGATCTTTGCGTGCATCAGAGATGGCAAGAAGCCGGCTGCGGATAAAACCTATTGCACTGGTTGTCGTCACTTCTAATGCTTCAGTTGCCCTCTGAAATGTGGTGAGGACGTTGACTGGACCGGTAAGTAGTAGTTCTTCAAGGGCAGTATGGTGAGTTTGGAGTTCCACCTCTACAACGTCTGTAAACCACTCACTCTCACGTCTTATAGAAGCTAACAAGGGAGGAAGTTGTTGATCAGCCTCTGCGGTGAGGTTTGCTAATAGTGTATCGTTAGGTACGGTGAATGGGGCGTAGACGGGGTCTACGCCTTGAAGGGATGCGTTAGTCCACGCGACGGTCTCCTCTGCCTCTGGAGTGCATACCCAACGAAGCACGGCTAGTAATGCAGTGTATACACTTTCCGCCTCATTACATAACCTCTGTTCCCCTTCCTTAACGGCTTCAATGTGAGCTGCCGCCCTTGCAACTGTATTTCGCACGAGCACATTTGCCTTCACGCGCCACTCAATGGCAACGTCGACTGGACTTGCGGAGAAAACGGGTGCGTTGAGTCGTCCGTCGAATGCGCGGAGCCATCCGTCTGCGCGTGTTCCCCCTGGCGGCGGGGGTCCTCCCGACTCCTCGGCTGTTGGCTCGCGATGGCGGCGGAGACTCTCGGCGGCGGCCCCCGTCGCTCGGAGAAATTCCCCGCCGGCCCGCCGCCCGGCCGCTGCGAGGGCCCTCGTCTCCCGCACGACGCGGTCGCGGGCGGCCGGGCGGCGGAGGGTCGCCGTGCGGAGAAGTGTCGCCGCCCACAACCGCCGGCCCATCGCCATCAGCCGCAGCGACGCCCCGTAGACCTCCGCCAACCGCCGGGTGTACGTGCGATACCGCAGCACCTCACGGCAGCGCAGTCGCGAGAGAAGCGTCGCCGCACACGCGTGGCTTTCGCACAACCGACGGTTTGTCGCATGGATCACACGCTGTGCAATTACTTGGGTCCCGGTGATGCTCACATATCCAATAGGTGCAAGCGAGGCTACAAGCTTCACAAGTGATTCACGCATACCGTCTCGCCGCTCCCGCTCCCGCTCCGCAAGCGCACGTTCACACTCAGAAATGGCTCCAAGACGTGCGTCGTAGGAGGACTTCACAGCAACAGAGAGACTAAGAAGACGTTGTCGCTCAGTCTTAAGTCGGCCAATGCCCTCATCAGGACGCATTTCCGCACTATGATAAGGGTCCGTAAAAGGTGGCAACACCTCATCGTTCGCAGCATCAGCAAGGGTTTTGCTGTACTTTTCCAGGTAGCTCTTGTGCGACTCCACACGCTGCTCCTCCAGCAGCAGACCTCCTGCAATTTCATTGTGACTGTACTGCAAAAACTCCTTCAAATCTGCCAATTGATGCACCTGTTGTTCATCCAGTACTTTGTTGAACTCTAGAACACCATCCTGAAAAGCCATTAACACCTGCTGGAACCGAGTCCCTAATCTCGCGCGCAGGCGTGACTCCTTTACTGCTGGCCGCTGTAGTGACATATCCACGGATCCAGATATATATATATATATATATATATATTCTTTCTTATATATTTGTTTCTTCTCGAATCAAAGGGATATTTCTGTAGAGCTCCTCTACACACGTATACATTTTTACAGAAAGGAAACGAAAGGAAAGGTGCCAAAAAAGAAAAATAACAATAATAGTAATAATAATAATATTAACAGAAGGTTAAACAACAATAATAAAGAAAGAAAAAAAAAAAAAAAAAAACATACGCCAAACAAAACCCAAAAACCCAACATCGAAGTATCCTGAAAAATCAGCGAGTATACAACTAAAGTTACACACTTCTGAAAAAATTATACGATGTATAATTATAGACGTGTAGCAGCAGCATCAAGTGCCTCCTTAAGGCGATCCACCAATCTGAGAGACGAGCTCTCCACCATGTGCAGGACCACTTCACGCACAAAAGCATTTGCCTCTGCAGCAGAGAGTCGTCCCATAGCTGTCCAGCGACTGGCATACTCCTCAACAATACGCACCATCTCCGCCTTTTCTTCATCATCAACAACATCATTATCCGTATTATTAGTTTTGTTGTCGTCGTTGTTGTTTTCGCCACCAGCACATTGCGTTACGCACACCAGCAGGCGACGCACTATATAAAGATGCAACTCTTCTGCTGTTGGCATTGGAAGCGTGAGATGCACATCCAGGCGACCAGGTCTACTAATCGCAGGATCAAGCGCTGCGATAGACGGTGCAGATGCAACAACAAAGACGAAATCGTCACCGTTGCTACTTCCACTTATCCCATCCATCACTGTTAACAGTGTGCTAAGTGTTCGGTCTGCAGTATTCGACACCTCACTCATCTGCCGTCCCCGCGGTGGGGCGAGGCTGTCTATGTTGTCAAGGAATAACACGGTGGGTGATGTGGCCCGTGCGTTGGCAAATAGTGTGGCGATGTTCTTCTCCGTACGTCCCACCGCCTTCTCAATGAGTGTCAAACCGTCCACAAGCATCACGTGCAATCTACCACTGCGCAGACGCCGTGCGAGGGATGTTAATAGTGATGTCTTACCGCTCCCAGACGGGCCGCAAACGACAACACCTTTTGGTGGAGTCACACCGTAGCGCCGCAGCAGACGCATATGTTGCAGTGGCCACACCACAAGCTCCTCAAGGTCTCGCAGTATATTCGCCATTCCAATTAATCCTCCATATGTGTCAGCCACATTTTCATTTTTGGTATCTAGCTGGGTATCATTCTGGTGACGTTGTTCTTTGTGGTGCTGTTTCGCATCAAGAGTGGCTTCGCGTTCCAACATCTGCAGCAGTGTATTGTTGTTCATTACTGCTAGTTGACCGGCGGTGTATCCGGCGAGAAGTTCCGCCACTCTTTCCCGTACATGAGGTGGGAAGTCCATTGCGCCAGACTGCATTTCCATGTAATTTAGTCGCTCCTGTAGTGAGGGATAAGCAATATGCACACGCCGTGAAGAGAGACGAGAGAGTAATGCCGTGGGAAGTGTGGTGGTGTTCTCCGCAGTGGCAATTAACACTATGTGGTAATCCGCCAATTGTGCAGCTTCATCCATTTCATCCAGCGAGGCACATAACTGATGCGATACCAGTGCCACCAACGAGTTGGTTGTAGCCCACAGCAAATCCACTCCATCAAGTGTCAAAAGAAGAATAACTCCTGCAGTAGAAGAATAATTTGGGTTTTCAGTAGTGTCAATAGGAGGAAGTGCACAGATGCGTTGTATCACCGTCACCGCCTCCCGTTCATCCAACTGCAGTAACTGTGCAACACTCACATCACGACGCTCCACTACGTAACGTTTACCGCACACATTTACAACTTGCGGAATTTTTACTGCAACCTGGTATAGTGTATGCGTCTTTCCAACGCCGTGTTCTCCTGTAATAAGAAGTGAACACACCGAACGTTGTCGCTTCTGCTGCCATTGTAAATGCTGTGTGATGTACTTTAGTGCGGCCGCAACGTACCGTTCACCCAAATCATGATCTTCCAGTTGTACTTCACACAACAATACACCCATTCCCACAGGCGCCGCCTCCACACGCACCCTATCTGCCTCCACCAGTTCATACAGTGAAACTCCACTGGCGAGTGCATACTCGCTGCAGTCTCTGCGAATCGCCAACCGCAACTCACCGCCGCTGAATGGATTGTAGAGTCGCACCGTGGAGTCCTCGAGTGTGGCGCTGAGCATAACACTGCGGCCCAATCGCGAGAGTCCCACCACCCGCTCCGCCGCCCCAACAGCCACACCGCTGGATGTAATGGCGGACGCAAATGTACGGCCGGCGTCAAACGGGTGGAAATGTAAAAACTGCGCTGACGGCCACCACGCAACGGGCGCAATCACAACTAACACGTCTGTCGCACCAGACATGTAAGTTTCGCCCATTTTCTTAATCACGCTTTGCAGGGATTGAAGGGGGAAGGGAGTTGCTGAGAATGTGCAGTACATGTAAACGGTAATAATAGTGCAAGGAGATAAATAAATATTACACACGAAAGCGAAAAAAAAAAAAAAATAAAAAATAAAAATAAAAAGAGATTAAGTAAAAAGATTAGAAAAAGCAGACAAAAGGGGACAAAAACAAAAGGATATACAACGTCATTAATATTGGAAATAAAAAAAAAAACACATATACATACACACTTTCCCACCACCCGAATCAACAGAGAGTCATTCAAACACAGAAACATAAACACTTATCCACACACATACAGGAATTATATATATATATATATATATATATATATATTATTCGTCCCATTTATGTCCATTTATGTCATTTATGTTGTGCAAAAATCAAAGATTATGTCTCCTTTTTCTCCTTTGAGTTACCGCCCTTCCTCTTCTTTTTCTTCATAGTAGTAGTACCGCATCTTTATTATCAACAGAGCAGTAGACCTAAACATATTGCTAGGGCACCACTTCTGATACTGCTGATTCCACCAATAATTGCTCTGCTTGAAAGAAATGAGGCACCTCCCACATCCAGTAACCACTTACTCACTACTGCTACCGCTATGGACACAGACAACTCACAGCTCGCAGCAAACAACATACACGTTATAGTGAAAATACCGTAGTACATTCTCTAACGCATGCACTCAAAGGAGTATTTCACATTGCATCATTTTCCTTCTTGTCGCATTCCTTCACATTACACAGGATTCCCAAAGTAACCTAACCAAACATCGATCCCCACACGGTCTCATCGATACTACCACCATACTGATAAATCCAGATGGGATTCAAGAACTCACACTCCTCATAACTTTGTGTAACTACCGTAGCGCTAAAAAATAAAAATAAAAATGCTTGGTGAATCTACTTTTCACTATTCTCTGCGCACTCGCACGGTACACATCAACTACTGCCGAACACAGACAGAGTGTACACACTGTCGCATTTTATTACAGGAAAAGATTAAATCTGTGACTCGTCCCATTCAATATTCTTTTATTGCTCTTCATGATAAGAAACACTCTCATCCTCTGTTCCTTCTCGTACATGCGGAGGTCAGAGATATATTACTTTTGATTAGTTAACGGAACCCGTACACCAATCAGTTTGACCTTCGTACTATACATATATATCAAGCTACTCCACGCAAAATTTGTCGCATCGCAAAAAAATCAAACCGTGCATTTCAAGGGAACTGCTAGTGATGTTTCTTAATCAATGTTTGAATATGGGTATAGAAAACATTTTTGCGCACTGGTAAGCTGGAGACGAAACTTTCCTCAAGAGATTCGCATGATAGCAGCTTCAATGTCCGCGGTGTACTCACGAACATAAAGGAAAACATGAGTATCGATGAAGTCACCCCTCCTATAACCCCTAACGTTACTTTTCAAGAAAGAAAGAGTGCAAGCAGGCAGACACAAAGAGTGGCACCTGACACAACAACAACAACAACAACAACAACAACAACAACAACAAGAACAAGAACAATAAGAACTTCGATAACCCCATTAAATTTTTTACCACAATTGTGTGTATGTGTAATGAGACCTTAACACAACACTAGAAGCATGAACCATACCAAACGTATTAGTAGGGTTTCCTGAATATCTTATGTTAGTGATGGATATCCAGTTTGCCAAAATCGAACCATGGAAGAAGCGGTCAGACTACGTATCGTCACAGCAACAACAACAATTAACACAGTAGCCACTAATGGAGTCTTAATATTTCGACTTCTCCACGGTTTACGCCACTCACGGAAAAGAAGACCCCATAACAATTTTAGCGCCGAATTTCGCGTTCGTTTGTCTGTCAACATGCCTAGTTTCGCTACTCTGCCTTGCAAGAAATCCTCTCGTGCCTTATATACGTATAATCCATATTTACTTTGGAGCCCTATAGCAACACGCATCATTTCTTCTACAACAGCTCGATTTTCAGTCCTCAAAACATCTTTTGGAAGCCGTGTGAGTTGTGTGTAGATGCGTGCCATCACCATAATATCATCATCGCCCTTCTCAAGCCCTTCACGTGCACTGTCAATCCATGTCAAGATACGATCTCGCTCATGCAGTACCAGTGCTGCTGTGAAAAAGATAACCGCATGCTCATCACTATGGCCAATGAAAAAATCAAACAAACGTGCGAGAATATCAACATCCTCACAGACGTGTACATACCACGTTATAAGCCATGAAACAGCGTAGTGCGACTCGGGCGCAACCCCACAGGACTCTAATGCAGCCGCAAAAGATGCATCTTCGGCGGCGATCACGGCGTGCATAGCATACAACATGGATTGTGATTGACTGAGTTGTTTATCGCTAAACGACCGCCAGTGCAGCAACAGTAGTCCCTCACACACGGAGAGCATCACATCCACCGCAGTCCCCTCCATCACATACATAACAAAGCCCATGAGCTCATGTAGTCCTTGGTAATAATATCGCTCCGTGTTGCTTGCGAGCACGCGAAGAAGTATGGAGGTCAAAACTTCTCGCATACTATCCCGCTTAGATGCATCGGGGTACAGCATCCACAGCGACCGCTGCACATCAACGTGGACCACACGTGGCTGACAATTATCAGGCAAATTTCGATGATACAATGTAGAACTTTCTTCTGTACTTGTTATGCGACTCAACTGTGGTGAATCCTCATCTGCCTCATTCAAGGAGTTAGCGCTACTACTTTTATTAATACTACCACTATTACTACTATCACTACCACTATTACTACTACCACCACTACCATCATCACTACCAGTACCACTACCACTCTCTCTTCTATTGATTGGCGAAGAGGAAAGCTGGGCCACGGCGTCCTCAACGTACGGCACGGGCCGCAGAATGCCTAGACCAAGCACAACGTGACGCCACACAGTATGCCGAACCGCATTATCACAAAACCCTGAGCGGATACACATATTTCGGCATTCCTCCAAATAAGAGTCCCCATCAAGCGTCTTTTGCAGGGATTTCACGCGATGAAGTTCTTTTCGCTTCAGGCGGTTATGCTCATTAGGATTCATAAAGGGAGGCATATTCGTCTGATTATTTTCAGGGGTGCGTTGTTTTTTTCTTTTTCTTTTTTTTTTAGTATTATTATTATTAATTCCCTCTCTTTTCCCTTTTTTTTTCTTATTATTTCTGAATATTACTTGATTTATTTATTTCTTTTCTTACTTCGTCCCTTTCCTCGTACCTGAAGTCGAGAGAAATAAAGAGGCACACCCTTCGGTCCATAAGAAGAATACAAACAAGAAGGAAAACAAGAAAATAATAATAATAATAATAATAATAATAATAATAATAATAATAACGCGCCGTAGTAACGGAAAAATTCAGAAATACAAATAGAGAGGGATACAAAATGATTCCCATGTATACATACCATATATATTTTTTACTTCATTCACAGAAGCATGAAAATAAGGTCAAAAAAAAAAAAAAAAAACACGAAACACAAACAAACAAAGAGTAATAGTAATAATAATAACAATAGGGAAAAATAAGTGGAATAACGAAATAATTTCTTTCACATCTGAAGCCTTTTCAATTCATTGGCTCGTTTTTCTTTCATTCTTCACGTTTTTTTTTCTCTCCATCATAACCATCATCACCTTATTCAGGAGTATAATGAGGTTAAGAAGAAGTTCTTCGCACATGGAGAATCTTTCTCAGCTCGTATACGGCTTCGGTTCCATTCCAGTCGGTGGCTCCATCTTCACTTCTCGCTTCCCCACATCATCCCAGTTAGTGGACAGAACTGTACCGTTGCTTTCCACGAAAGACTTCATCATCGCACGACGCTGCTCATCCGTACCGTTACCGTAGATCTGCTGAAAAAGTGCGTTGAGAGCCTGCTCCCCTTCTGGTTTCACATCGTCGTCATCAATCTTCACAGCACTCCAGTCCTTTCCACGGCTGTTTGGGTACTTCAGCTCCTTTGAAGGTACCGACGAGTTTGTCGCCACAGCAGCAGCATTGCTGGAAGAGTCCGTTAACGACGGTGCGGCTAACTTTGGCGCCTCGTTGCCAAGTGCTTCCAGCGCTGGCCACTGCATCTCAGATGCCTTTTTAAGGGATATTTCAATTTTCATTGGCCGCACATTTATCACCGCGGCATCGGGCGTCACCGGTGCATAGAAATGATCCACATTGTACTGGTACTCGCGCCCAGAGGGATCAAGGAGAATAGTTACTGTCAGTGACCGGTCCGTCGCCTGCACACGTACATCATCCTCTTGACGGTCACGTACATAGAAAGTGAACGTCACTTGTGTTGGGGACTGAAACCATTCGCAGCGCACCGCTCCATTAAACGGTTTTGTTGTCGGGCTCATTCCTGTAGCTTAAAACCTCTGTATGTGTGTGTGTTTTTTTTTTTTTATTATTTTTTTTAATTTTATCTGTAATTGCTGCTTTACCACGAAGGCGCAGTGGGCTTCCAATGGAGAGCCATTGGCAGAAAGAAAGAAAAAGAGAATAATTTATTAAAAGAGAAGTGCATTACTAAAGAAAAATGAAAGAATCCCCATCCTCGCCATGACGTGGATGGAGACTCCAAAAAGGGCAACAACAGTGAAGCCAAACAAAAAAAAAAGAGAGAGAGAGAGAGAAAAAAAAAGTAACGAATAAAGTAATAAAACAGAAATAAAAAAGAGGGATTCTTCACCTACAATTTCCTCCCTCTCTGAGTCTAGTAAAGACATATGCAACCCAGTAATCAGTTCTTGGCAAACTTCTTACCAAGCTTATCAGCAGCAGACTTGGTGACCACCTCCAGCACGTTGTAGCGAATGGTCTTGCTCAGTGGGCGGCACTGGCCAACCACCACCTCATCACCGGGCTTGGGGTCGAAGCAGGGGCTGCAGTGGACCGTCAGGCTGCGGTGGCGCTTCTGGTAACGCTGGTACTTGCTGATGAAGTGCAGGTAGTTGCGGCGAATCACGATGGAGCGCTTCATCTTGGTGGAGTGCACAACACCGCGCAGGATGCGGCCGCGGATGGACACATTGCTGGTGAATGGGCACTTGCGGTCGATGTACTTACCGTTAACAGCCGCCTTGGGTGTCTTGAAGCCGAGACCAATCTTCTTGGAGTAGCGGATGTGGCCGCTCATGTTCACATGCTTCTTGGATGGCTTGTGGCTGTTCTCGTTGACGGCCGTCTGGCGCTGGTACGCCTTCTCGTGCTGCAGCGTCAAGTCGACGGAGTGCACGCGCGCGTATTCCTGTGGGGCTGCCATGATGGGTAATATGCCTACCAAAGCTCTGGGAAAAATATTGGGCAATAATAATAACAACAACAGACAAAAACAAGAAAAGGAAGAGTTAAGAATAAATAGAAAAATATATTTTAGAGCAGAACAAGAATAACAATACTATTGAATCATTGGTACACAATCAGTAAATGGGTTCATATATCGATTTTTTTTTCTTTTTTTTTGTTTTTTGAATGCTATTCGTAACAAAAAAAGAACTTTACGTATTTTTGTATTCTGTATTAACATATTTACAGGTTACAACTGATGCGGTCCCACTGTGCATCCAGGTACCTTTACAAAATCATCAAATTCATAACGCTTCTTATCTGGACAACATTTCCAGTACTTGTATGTATCCCAGAATACAGGTCCCCCACTGTGATACCGGCACGCTGTTGGATTATTCTCACTTACCACAAACTCTTGCTGACATCCGTAGTTTCGACATCTGGCTTTGCCGTCAATGATCTCCTGCGGTGCTTGTCCTTGTGCGGCCACTGCACCTTCGAACTCCCTTGGTCCATTCGTGCGACGAGGCGCAACACCGTCTTGTACAGTCGTCGCTGCAGAAGATGCGCCTGCTTCTGTCGCCTTTAACTGATCCTGTGATAGCGGAACATTTACAATAGGTTCACTTGAGAAAGAGACCTGTCGGTTTTCTGTGCTATGTGGGCCAATACAGCAAGGTGGAATGGCATTGAAGTCATCCCAGTCACGCACACGCCGCGTGGGACAACAACGCCAATACTTTTCAATATCATGAAAGACTGGAGGTTCTGCGTGGTGTTTGCACGCTGTGTCGTTATTTTCCTCTGGGAGAAAGAACTTTCCACATCCATAGTTGGTGCAAGGAACAGATCCTGGTTGCTGCAATTGCTGTACAGACTTTGCTATATGCCGAATGTGAACATCATTGTACTCATGCACTCGTGTTTCCACGATATCTGACGGCTTCAACTCTACATTTCCATTCCACAGGCTAATTTCTTCAACCACAAGAGGTCTCTTAGGTTGCTTCTTATTGTACGTAGAAACAATAAAACGGAGAAGCTGTTCACATGGACCAGTGAGCCACTTCACCGGGAGGTCTATCTTTACCTTGTATACCTCTTCCAGGCTATCGTCAACCACGCAACCATTCGTATCTTTTCCCTCATATACAAAATACACCTTCATATTTCTTCCTCTTTTTTTGTAGTAATGCAGAAAAAAAGGAGAAGGAAATAATCAACAAGGACAGAAATTTAAAAGAAAAAAAAAAGGGATGAAAGGGAAAAAACAAAAATACATGAAATTTAATCCATCACAGAAATATATAAACAGACTACAAATTACAAGCAAAATGAAGCATCTTCAGACGGAATTTGCCTTTTCAAGCATCGATGTGATCTCTATCTCTACACAATCTCTACGCCATACCATTATATATATATATATATATATATATCTACAGGAAAATCATAAAATGCAAAGCAGATATACCCAAAGGAACATTTTATTTTAATTCTTTTGGGTAAAGAATGGCGAAGCCCCAATGTAAGAGGTATAAAGGGGTATACCTGCGGAGTGTGAATTTCCCTCATCTTGTTCTTGTTGTGATTGACTCTGACTCTGCTGTGGATTGTATTGTTGTTGCTGTTGTCGCATGAGAGAAGTCTCCCGACGTCGGGGTAAATTTATTGGCAGTGGCACATGAGAAGAGGAGTGCCGCCGCTGCGACGCTGCGGAAACATCGGGGTGGACGTAATGGTCTGGTTGACCGCTTGTGGAAAAGGATGCGGAACGCGTCATTTCACGTAGTGGCGGTCTACTCGAATCCCGCATCATCAACTGCAGTCGCATGTTTGCCAACTTTGCTGCTTCCGCTGCGCGTTTCGCCTCTTCAATGCGGGCCCGCCGGCCGCGCAGCCACACTTTGTAGTCGACAATCTCCTCTTCTGTCATGATGCCGTACTTGGGCAGGGCGTTGTATAGATACAGCACACAGCCCACCACGTAAGTGGCGAAACCAGCCCCAACAAACACAAAGAGTGGGACCACTGTGCAGAACGGCAAGTACGCACGGGAGACAACTTTGCAGTAACGCAAATAATCCTCAAGGAGACTTCCCGCCGCCGTCGCCATGAGAGCCGTGCGGAGGACAAGACACAACATTGCAATCTCCAAGGCAGCAATGAGATCTTTGCGAAATACAAAGTTACGCCAACGGTAGCTAAAAAAGTTATTTTCCACAGCACTGCGGTTCACTGCACCAAAGAAGAGCGTAAAGGCACAGAAAAAAATGGCTAATCCCATCTGTATCGCATGATCTGCAAAAACGTCACTTACACCCGATAAAAACAACTCAACTGAAACGTCCTTAAAGGCGTATAATGTACTCCGCGTTGTCATATAATAACATGAATCTAACTTCATTACCAAGGGTGGAACAAGCTCTAGATTGTTTTTGGACCAGAGAGAATGAGCAAAGGTACATCGAGCAGTCATCACAACCTTTGTTGTGTGAATTACTAAACATACGAACTGCACGACACTACAGATGTCATAGAAGGGAACAATGCGTTTCTCGCACTTCAGACGACTCTTATTCGGCCTCTGTTGTAGATCACTCACTACGTGCATTGATGTTTTTTTTTTTTTTACTCTTTTTTTTTTTTTGTTTGCAAGCTCCCCAGTTACAATTCCTTGCTTAGCTACTGTAACACCATAAGCGCATGTGTACAGATAAAATGAGATAAAGGAACGAAAAAGAAAAAAGAAAAGAAAAGAAATGCATACAAGGAATAAATAAATGTAATAAATGAGATAACAAGAAAGAGAGTGAAACCAAAAGAGCTCCTCTGAAAAATTCATCAAACAGAAAAAGAAAAACTTAAAATTAATAAAAAAACAAAAAAAAAAAAAAAAAGAATACTAAGTACAACTTGCAAATGCCCAAAGTAAAGGTAAAATAGAATAAAAATAACAAAAATAAAAACAATAATAAAAACAGTGAATTCCCCTATTTCCCAACCCCAAGAAAGAAACATGCATATCCCAATTTAGAAAAAAAAAAAAGAAAGAAAAATAGAATGTGATAAATCAAGAAGAATAGTAAAGGAAAAAAAAAAAATTCTTATACTTAATAAAGTTCCCAAGTGGGCACGGAGGTTTATATTGCTTTTAGAAATCACTTTTCTTCTCCGGCTACACTCGAATGAGAAAATTCAGAAAATCAGAAAAACAAACAAACAAACACATTACTCTAATCGACCTAGCCACATTGCTTAAATAATAGTGAGAAGAGATTTCCTGCAGAAGCGCTGCGCGTCTTCTCGCGTCGCATCGAACAAGATGTTTGTGGTGTGTGTAGCGCTGCCGGACGTATCGGCTCCGGTGACGAACCGCGTTCTGCGTTTTCACATAGTCTTGTTGGTGTTGTTATTGATGTTGTTGTTGTTGTTATTATTATTGGTGGAGGAGGAGGAGGAGGAGGGAGTGGACCACACGGTGTGGGATCCCCCACGTGCCGCAGTACACCGCGTCCCCGTTCATACTTGATGCAGTAACCCGTGTGTGGGCCAACCACATGGCACCAGACAACAACATCATCTTGCATAGATTCCGCAGGAGTAGTGGCGGCAGTGCACATTTCCGGGGAGGCAGCTGAACGTACACTGCGCGAGGCACTACGTCGTCCTTGTTTGACGCGTATGTGTACCTCATTGTCAACAAAAACATGATCAGCAAAATGGAGTGTAGCCACAATCTTTGAGTCTGTTCGTGGTTCGGCGAATAAATACACCACATGATCAGTACGGCACGCAAAAAGAGAGAGTGCACCCCGCAGTTGCTTGCTGCGCCACGGACACTGCAATAAGGTCTGTGTGAATAGTGGAGATGCGAGGAGTTGGCGGGCGCTTGGCCGTGCGAGTGGGTTCTTTGTCAACATTCCCATAATGAGATCCCCCACTTCTTGTGAGTATCGCACAGAGGATACATGACTGGGGTGTGGAGGCTCTGTGGATGTAATGGCAGATCGCAATGCGGGAAAGTCATCACCGGTGAAGGGCTGACGGTTTGTCATCATGCGGTAGAAGACCACACCGAGACTCCACACATCGCTGCCGTATCCACACAATCCCTCCGCAACGGTCTCTGGCGACATAAAGAGAGGTGTGCCCACACACGTGAATCCCTCCACCGCATCACTTTCACTGCTCATCGCACTGAGGCCAAAATCCGCTACTTTTAGTCTTGGCACTTTCCGGTTGCCGTTAGAGCCAATGGTGCAAACATCATTTCCACATACCAATATGTTTGACAGCTTTAAATCTCGATGGACAACCTCCTTCGTGTGCATATGTGCCACGGCGATTAAACATTGAACAAAAAGAAGTAGTAATAACTCTTCGCTGAAGGGATAATTACGCTTCATGTAGTTCTCCAAATCTCCTGCGTTACAGTATTCCATCAAGAAACACACACCACCCTCACACTCTTCATACCAGAAATCCATGAGACGTACAATACCATCATCGTTAAACTTTGCCATTATGGTCGCTTCTGCTATGGCAGCACGAATCTGCTGATCTACCACCTCCGGTGCTGTCTTCTTCGCCGCGCCATTCCTAGAGATATGAGAACGCTTTACCACTGCCAATGCCCCCTTTGCTTCTCTGTCCTCCACGAGAACCACTTCTCCAAATGAACCTCGACCCAATGTTGTTATAACTGCAAATCTTTCTCCCAGAAGTCGGCGCCGCGGAACTGTGTTGTGCCGCAGATGCCTTACAAATGAGGGAACTTCACTCATGCGGTTGAAAAACCCCCGTGAAGTCGTCACCTCCGCTCTGCTATCAACAGTATATATATATATATATATATATATATAGAGAGAGAGAGAGAGAGAAAGAGAGAATGAAAGAGAAAGAAAGAGAGAGACAAATAGGAAACCGAGGAGAATATTCCAAAAGCACAACGGAAAAAAAATGAAGCAAAGGTAAAAGAGAAAAAAAAAAAAAAGAAAAAAAGAAAAAGAAATGTAAGAATAATAATAGTAGGGGGTAAGGAGTTCTATTCCTCAATAGCACTCTGCAGAGGAAGGTTTATGCCATAGAGAACAGTGGCATATCCTGTTAAGAATGGAAGCTTGCATGCCTGTCGCACCAACGCAAGAGCCTCACCAATTGTCTGAGGACGGCGTACACAAGAATCCCCGCAGCTATCACCTGAAATTAACATCAATAGTCGCTTTGTCAGTCTATCAATCTCACCATCTGTTACATGCCACAAACAGCCCATAAACAATGGACATCCCGCATGCAAGAAAGCGTAGGGCATGCCGAAGCAATCAAACGACGGACCACTGTCCATATACGCACTACTACATCCCATTAAGAAAACGGCTGGAAAGTTTATCGGGTCAGGAAATCGTTCGTATAATTCTTGACGATTAAGAAATCGTTCCCCTTTTCCGTGACCAACATAGACATAAAGTTTTGCCTGAGAGGCGTACAATTCACGTAACTTTCCAGAAGTTATACCATTTGAATTTACAGTCCAACCATTCCGCTGACAGACAGGCAACAGACGTTTAGACGTTTTTGGCATAACTCCATTTGGGTCAATCGCACAGTACGTTAAACCGTCACCGAGAGACCTTGATCGTCCATTACTTCTTAAAGATATAAATGTAGCTGTAGGAACACGAGAAACGTTTCCGCATCGAAAAACATCTATAGCTTCAAACGGAAGACAATGAAGCTCATTATCTAGTACAAGATAAACAGGACTACGTGTTAATTGAAGTAAATCCAAATGTTCTACGTTTTGTTTTTCTTCACCAAAACTAGCATTCCATATGGCTCTAAGAGTGCGGAGACACATCTCGCGTACCATAGTAACATCATCATCACCCAAGGAAGCAATAATACCCTGATTAAGCAACTCCGTCTCTAACCCTTGTGCAATATCTAAGAAAATTTCATTACACAGATCACAAGATGACTCCATATTCACATGAGAAGGATTAAATGGAAGTCTATCTTTGAATACATGACATATCTTAAGAAAAGGAAGTCCCATTAATATCATCACTACATCTTCCACGTGCTTTAGAGGAGCCTCACACCTTTGTAATAGCTCAGATGCCATAGATTGAAGTTCCATCATACAAGAGTAGGTTAAATCACCACACATGGCCAATCGCCAACATCCAAAGATATTTTCAGATTGCATCTCCTTTACAACGTCCCCCAAAGCACGATCCAACGCATGACGCTGCTCCCACCACTCCACTCGCCTTTTATCATTCGGTTTTTCCCCAATAGAATCGTCATTGTGTATCTTTTCTAACGTTGTAAACTCTTCTTCTGAGTTGAAACTATCTAGATGACGCCGATTCCTTAACTCAATATCCCGCATTCGGTTTACCATTTCTAATAAAACCTCCTTAACCGGCAACACTTTTTCCCATGGTGTTATCCCATTTATACTGCTGGTACGAACCAGACGTACTCCTTTCTGGTCCGCCGTGAGAATGATCTGCAACTGAGAATAATCATATGTACTACTAGACGCAGAAACAGCACTACGAAGCGTATCAAACACTTGACATCTCTTGGAAAATGTACGCCCTATCACCGTTGTTTTTGTCTCCTGGTATGTGAGTGTAGCTCCAGCACAACGTGGTGGCATCAATGGGAGAAGAATAGCTGTAAGAGCCTTCCATTCCCCATCATCATCATCATCATCATCAGAGCAGGATTGCACGAAAGAGGTGATTGCTTGCAATGTTAGTAGTAGATGTGCCTGTGATGGCATGCGTACGCAGATACCCACCAGCAACGGTAGGAAGCATCGAGCCAGCGGCACATCACCCTCTTCTACAAGAGAAATAACAGTTCGTGATAATCCCTCAAGGACAAATGAGGGTGCAACTTTATCACTAAGCAGTTGATGTGCCAGTTTAGTATCACCCCTTATTAAGGTTATAGCAGCTGGCAAGAGACCCTCCAGTGTTTCTGAAAACAAAAGAGTTCGCAGCATATCAAAAGCACTCCAGTTTTGTATAGCTTCATGTAACAACATCTCTGGCTCATTTGGGTGCTGTTGTTGTTGTTGTTGTTGTTGTTGTTCTTGGGCAGAAATATACAACGACTGTATGTGGTGTGGACTGCATTGGATTCCAGAATCCCCACTTATGGTATGCTCAAAAAGGAGCTTGAGTTCCTTTCCAGATACAACGAATGAGTTACCATTCGAATTAGTTCGAAGACCAAGTTGAAGTATTTCCACTGCAATGTCCGTATACCGCTGGCGTTGAGCCAACGCCACTACACTAGAGACAGAGGCCATTGGGTAATCAACAGAAGAAAGATAAGATTCTCCACTTTCAAATATCACCAAAAAAGATGCCAGACGAACTAGATCAAATTTTTTTCGGGTTAAACATACTTTGGCATCTAATACCGTGTCACGGAGGGCAATCACATCATTAATGGACAAAGCCAGTGGTCGTCGAAAATCAACTTGTAAGTGAGTTGTCTCCTTCTGAAAAGCCTGTTGTAAAATGCTCATCGCATCAGAGCTGTGTCGACATACTTCCTCTTGTGCTTCTCGCAACACAAGTGAACCTTCAGCATACAAAGATGCACAGAAGCGTTTCCACATTGTAGCAACATGAGACCCACGAAGACCCAAACGAACACAAATATTCACTCCAGTTGAACAGGAAAATCCCCATTCATCTACAGGGACCAGATCAGAAAGTCGTTTCTCATCATGAATTTCCCTTAACAAATAAAACCCTACCGCTTCTCTCTTCTTGTGGCAATGCGCAAATGCTAGTACATTGTACATCCAACATGTACTCCAATTCTCAAGTGCGGGTTCATCTACCACGAGTGATGTGAGTATGTGGGTAACAGCATGAGAAAATCGCAAAAAAGTTTGTGGATGACTGCCTGATGTGTCAACTGTGGCTAATGCGGTGTGCCATACCATAATTGATGTACACACAATAGCGGTCACCTCTTTATCATCCTCTTGCGTATTAGCGGCTATGGAAGAAATAAGATGCGCCATCTCACACCTATCTGTTTCAGTCACCTCATACTGTAATCGTGTTAGCTGACTAAAAGGCGGTGGGGATAATTCGAACGCTGTTGTGATAAGCGGCAATGCAAAAGTGCCGCGTCCTGCCTGAAGTGTACATCGCGCGGCTGCTGCCAGTAGTTTGACGGTGCGCCACTTGTCGTGCACGGCGGATGTCTTCACCGCCGCAGACTTGGCGGCCGCGAGTACATCTTGCAACTCTGCTTCGTTGGCGAGCGGCGACTCCGCCAGCCGCAGAAGAATCCCGCCGCTGGCGGCCGGCTTCATCGGCGTGGATCTAAAGAGCGCTTTGCGGTCAGCAGAGAGAAAGGAAAAAAAAAAAAAAGAGAGAGAGAGAGAGAGAGAGAGAGAGAGAGATAATTTGAGGAAGAAAAAGCTAGAGTCGTCTGATTCCCCTCGGTGGCCTTCTAGGTGGTGAAAGGTCGAAGGAAAAAAGGAGTTTATGAAAATAAGAATAACAAAAACAAAAAAAAAAAAATGAAAAAACAAAAAGGAAAAGACGTAACGAAATAGAGAAGCAAAAACATAATAATAAAAAAGATTTGGTGAGGGTAGTGTAGTGTAGTAGTAGTACTGAAGACGGTGATAACAATCTGTATACACTATATCTTTTAATCATCGAATACTATCCATATTCTTTTTGATAACAAGCAGCACATGGGTTTTCCAATCATCCAACATGCGAAGCTCCTGAAGGAGGGATACAGCCGTCTCAAACTTTTCCATATCAGATCCTTCTACAGCCTCAACACACATTTCAAGGAATTCTGCTTCTCGGGTGTTTTTAAGATATGGATCACGTTGCATATAAGTACGAAGTGCCTCTGAAGCCTCATCACACATCTCGTGTCGATTGTCATCATTTACAGTGGCAAGACGACAGAGCATGGCTCGCATAAAGTGCTCTTTCGCCTCATGACGCAGTGGACCATCAGCGCAGATGCCACCGAGTCTCTCATAGAGTGCCAATGCTTTATCAAACATATCATTTTCACCATATATTTTCGCCATAGCGACTGTGCAACTCTTCACTTGCATCTTCATATCCTCTGCATTGAAGTACTGTATAGCCTTTTCATAATGCGGAATGGCTGCCATAGACTGTCCATCTTCACACAAAGCATCTGCAAATTCCTTTTCCAAACGAGCGGCTCCATTCAGTTTATTGCTGTCAATCTGTATACGAATGGCAATATCCAACAGCTGTGCAGCCTTCTTCAAATCTGTCTTTTTATAAGCATTAACAGCATTAACATACGCCTGACATGCACCCATCTCATCCTTGCACTTCACTGCACAGTCACCAGCTCGCATATATGCTTCACCTGCCCTGCTGTACTCTTTTTCAACTTTGAATCGGGCGGCAGCTTTATCAAACAATTCCATGGCACCTTCATAGTCATTAAAAAACATTTTGTTGATCTTCTTTTCCGCACTGCGGTAAACATCCTCTGCAGACATTTTGTTGATCTTTCTATTTTACCTAAAAAAAAAAAAAAAAAAAAAAAAACTTTTTGTTGTACCTTTGTTTTCTTTGAATTAACTTAGATTTATGTACCACACACAGACACAAATGTATATGAATATGTATAGGTGTATGTTTAAAAAAGAATTAAAAAAAAAAGAATAAAAAGGCGTGAATTCACAAAAAAAGAAGAGGTAAGAGACGGAAATGGAGCACTATTTCTATGTATAAATATAGTCAGATCGCCATACATTAAAGGACATGTATATTGGCATTTCTTCTTTTTTTGCATCTGTGCATGTCTCTCTCAGTCAGGCTCGCTCTCCTGTTAGCGGTTATACAACATGAATTTCTTTTAGTGTATTTTTTTTTCTTTTTTTTTTTTTTTTTTTTTTTTTTTAAAGGGAGAGAACCTCATGCAAATGGCATACCTCAGGCCTACAAACGGTGCACCTGCAGTGTAGAATTATGAAACTGAAGTTGCACGCATCACGGCAGTTTATCTCTATTTCCAGTAGACCTTATTCATTCCCGAATCTCGTTGAAATTGCAGAAGCATTATTGATGAGATTCGTGAAAATATGAAGGTGTATGAGGATACCAGTACACGTCAATTCATCTTCACAGATATCAGTACGCATTTTTATCTTAATTCGATTACTACTGTTGAGGCGGAACGTACGGACCCATCTGAGATTGAGGGGGTGGATAATATGCGGGTCTTCCCTGGAGCGAGAAACCACCATATTCCCCCATACCACCGTACATGCCCATACCAGGATAACCATTATACATACGTGGGTGATAAGGAGCAGCGTACGGGCTCATATTATACGGCATGGCACCATAGGTGTCTTGATATGATTGCCCTGCCATGCCGTGCTGCATATATCGCTGTTGTGGGGGTGGCGGTGGCTGTTGTGGTTGTGGTTGTGCGTGTTGTTGGTAATGGTAGTATTGCTGCTGCTGCTGTTGTTGTTGTTGTTGTTGTTGTTGTTGATACTGGTGGGGGCGGTGATGATGGTGGTGATGGTGCATGGGATAGGCATGACTCGTCTCACTCACTGGCGCAACTCTGTGGTGCACATTTTGCGGCACAAACGTTGCCGTTGTGGATGTCGCCTCGCGTGCAGCGGGAACTGCTGGGCGACTACACTCCTCTACTGGGCGTGGGGGTGTCTTCACAGTACCGACAAACGTAAATTCAACAGAGGCAAGCTTCGCTATTTCTTGAGGTAGCGAAAGCACGCCAATTTTAACGAGTTTCTCCTCATCCTCCTCCTCTTCCTGCAGAAGTTGTTTTTGCTTTTCTTCCTCTTGTTGTTGTTTCTCTTTCTGCTGTTGGTCCCGGGTGGGGGAAACTACCGGCTTCGCTTTTTGAGTGACGGCGGCATTGTTATCCACTGCTGGTGGAGGAACATGAGGAGCATGATTCGGGGCGTTGATAACATTATTGTTATTGTTATTGTTAATATTATTATTATTAGTAGTAGTAGTAGTAGTATTATTAGTATTACTCTTATTGCTTGCGGTGCTTGATGTGGTAGGTACGGTGGGGCCAGCAGGTGGTGGAACTGCGTCTTTGTTGGTCGCAGCAGATAGTTTTTGCTGCTTAAGCCTTTCAACTAGACTGCCAGAGGCCCACGCAGACATCACCCTCTTCTACTTCGAATGGCGAAGGACTTCAAGCAAATATCTCAAAATTACAACCGCACACAAGCCCAGAGGAGAACAGAGAGAGAGAGAGAGAGAGAGAAAAAAAAAAGAAAAAAAAGAGAGAAAAAGAAAAAAAGTACTCAGCTGAAAATACAAGAAAACAGAAAAAAAAGCAATATAAACAAAAAAAAAAAACAAAAAGAAGGAGGAAGAGAGACTTAAATCCAAGATACAAGAGTCATCCCCAAAACACAGTATCTTCAAGAATAATTCAAACAAAATGTAAGAAGTGGTAGTATTATCCACTTTAGAAGATTAAGCGAGTTGGTTAAAGGGAGTTCATTCATTAGTGTTGTTGTTCTCTTTTCCTTCTTTTTCTTTTTCTTTTTCTTCTTCTTCTTCTTCTTCACGGCGTACCAGCACAGCCACCATCTCTACGTGTGGTGTGTGTGGAAAAAGATCCACGGCGAAGGCTGCCGTCACATCAAACGGCATTCCACGGTATGCCTTTGTGGAAGGCTTCGTCAGTGCAGGACAGTCCCGCTCCAGTGCCTTTTGTTCACATGAGATGTACACAACACGCCGAATGGTGGGAGTTCCACGTATCCACTTCAACACAGTTGGAGTTACACCAGCACGAGGAGGATCTAAAATAACCACAATATCTTTTTTATCCTCATTCGGCAACGCATTAAGGATATCGGGCAAAAGCTGTTCCACACGACCGCAGTAAAATGTAGTGTTGTTTACATTATTACGTTCACTGTTCAACTTTGCATCCCGTACTGCCGACTCCACTAATTCAATTCCAATCACACGTTTCACGTACCTGGCTAGTGTAATTCCTATAGTTCCTGTGCCACAACAAAGATCAAGGAGTGTTGTTGACGGTGTAAGTTCTGCCAGGGCCACCGTTTCACGTAGTAGTAACTCCATCCCTGGTGTATTTACCTGAAAGAATGAGGTGGGACTTAGTTCAAACTGAAGTCCCGAAAGGTGTTCCGTGAGTGTAGAGGTGCCAAAAAGAGTATGACGTGGTAAATCTGGTGGTAGTGTGCTAATTCCAGTACCATGATGATACTGTGCACTAACCACAGAAGCAGTATCTTTCCCATACTCCTTGCGAAGATCTTCTTTTAATGTATCAGATTGTAGCACAGATGACAATCGCTCTTTAACAAGATTCGCCAATGTGGTATCGATACTTTCAATATCAAGTTCCATATCTATCATGACTTCACCAAGTACATTATGACGTACCTGAAGCTTTCGCCAGAATCCCCGCTGTTTCATCTTATCAAACACTTCCAAACCACCCTTTTCAGGTGATGCGAATTCATCATAGACTGACAACACAGCAGATGCCACCACCTTGGCGAGTGGGTGCATCGTTATTATATCTTTCTCCAATACTGAGTCAATAGCACAAGTTCCCTCAACCATAGCACCCTTGAGAAAACCAATAGAAGGTTTTCCACTTTCTGTATAGCCAAACGATAGCTGAACATGATTGCGATAACCACACTGTTGTGGGCTGGGGTGAATGCCTGTAAAAACTTGCTCTTTCGGTACATTGGTGGGAGCAATTACTCGTGTTACCTGCATGCAATGTTCTTTCTTCCGTGTGAGTTGTTCCTCCATGCTGTATCCCTCCCACTGCGATACTTTACTTTGCCCCGCAGCCACCTCCTCACGCGGCCGCTTTTTACTGGCGCCCTTATGTGTGAGTTGCAGATCCCGCTGCGTTACCGGCACTTCACGCCATTGCTTCTTACCGCGGAACTGCATACCGCGAAGGAGCTCCGCCGCAGCGGCACTATCTTCGGGTGTTTGAAAAGCCATAAATAAGAGTGGGGTATTGGGATTCTTGCCCATACGCAAAAGACCGTTGAATAATGGCTCTGGGGGAGCATTTGTCTTGGGTGGAGGAAGTTCCTTCATGATCAACTTCTTCATGGCAGACGTTGTTGAATACTTATCATGTGTGTCAAACTTTAGCAGGTTCTCATTACTGTGTTCACGAAGTACAACACCTTCAGAGATTTTTGAAGTTGTCTCAGCATTCACATTAGATCCATCATCAGACATTTTTATTTGCAGATGATTCTACAACCGTTCTTCTTGTTGTTTTGTTGTTGTTGCTGCTCTCGCTTCTTGCTATTTTCAGTGAAGGTTATATAAGAGTAAAAAAAAAAAAAAAAAAAAAAAGAAAAGAAAAGAGAAAAAAAAAAAGGAATTAACAAACCAACAGAAAAACAAACATGTACACAGACAGGAACATAATAAAACACGTTCGATAGGAAAACAAAACAAAACAAAAAAACAAAAACAACAACAACAAACACTCAATGGTGGCTAAGGTAAAAGTTTGAGAGAGCGAAACAGTCTTTCCCTTTCTTCCTGTCTCTCTTTCTGTGTATATTAGTCTCCGGAAGAGAGAAAGAGATAGATAGCGAGAGAAAGGAAGGAAGAAAGGGGAAAAAAAAAGAGCATCACACTCATAACGTACTTCTTCAAAACTCAAAAAAAGAGAGTGAAGAGAGGTACTAATTATTGTTAAGTGCGTTTTGCCGCAGCTTCAACTCGGCTCTCTACGACTGCAAGCAATGCATGCGTGAGAAGGTCTTTCGAAACCTCAAACTCATCCTCTGGGACCGCAACAACAACAACATAATGGAACCTGTGGTTCGAGTTGTAGAATGCACGGCAGAGTCCGTGAGCTAGTGGTTCGCCAACGACGGGTGTAAATGTGATTTCCGCCACAGCACAGTCCAATCGACTCGCCAGAGATTCACTAATACTCTTATCAGAAGAATCATTATGGCGTGTTTTGTCTTTGGAACCTGATGACTGGGAGACCACTTCCAATGAATTAGATACGGACGCATTAAAACGTTGGAGAAACAAATTAAGAAGTTTCTCACTGTCTGGGTTTTTTACCTTTTGCTTATACGCAAAACAATTCAATGAGAAACCATGTACCGTTGGTCTTTCTTCCCCTTTCCCTGTCCACGGAGGTCTGCATTGAACGGCGATGCTATTCTCATTCACTCGCTCTGTTACTAGCCAATTAGATGGTACACTGTACTGTACATAAAAATCCAATCGTTCACAAAGATCCCAACTCACGTCAGCAATCGTTGAGGCGACGCTACTACGGGACGCTTTCCAACTGCGGCTAGTTACACTTGACGCAAATTTCATGCCTTTACCAACCATATTAGTTACTTCTTCTTCTTCCTTTTTAGCATCATCAACAGGGCGCGCATTCCACCGTGCGAGTGCCACATCACGTGAAACTCCTTGACGTTGGAAACGCGTCGCAGAATTCACCCTTTGGCCAATTTGTGCTACACGATGAAACACACGCATGTTTCTCCTTCTAATCAACCCCTACAGCTCTAACCTTTTTCTTTTCCTTCTATACGCCTGTAATTTGATAGAAATAATAATAAGAAAAAGATAACAAATGAAGAAAAGCGCAAAAAAAAAATAATAATAATAATAATCTCCTTATGTTTTTTTTTTTTCTTTTTAAACCTGTTCTATTATTCTTTCCACTTAATTCCCAAATCCCAACCACTGCTTATATCACCCTCTCAACCTGACTTTTCTTCAACCTGTCATCCTTCCGCATCCACGGTCTGCCGTTGGAGAATGGTCTTCCAACGCGAACACACTAGTCGCCTTGACTCAAATAAAACGTACCTGGTCATATCCCTGCGGGTTAATATAGGAGTGTTCACAATAGCAGGATCTGCATCTTTAAGAAAATCTTTTAAAGCATCTTTTGCTAAAAGTGTTGCGAGTTCATCATATGTTATTTCTTCCTTCTCAAAGGGTTCAGTTCCTATTTTTGACAAAACGCTATTAAGACGATTTTCACAAACATGATCTAGGAGATACTTTGAGGCTTCGAGCTGCACCGGGTCTTGTATAATACTCTCAAGATCGGGAAGCTGAACACCGGCGCGGTTAATGGAGTCACGCCGTACTCCCTCCATCTCATCCACACGTGGTCCCTGACGCCGGTCTGTTGAAATCTCCTGAAAGGCAGTGCATTTGAACTTCAAGATGGTCAATCCCTTTGGATCAAAACCTGGTTTTCCTCGGTTTACATGCTTTACGACGAGTCCCTCTGCCCAATTACCCTTCAGTGGGTAGTTGCCCATCCCAACAAGTGGGGGAATCGTCGTGACAAAGTTCTCCACATCAAAGGCAGCAACTTTAGACATGGGACCACGAATAATAGCTCTGGCATATAGTAAACCTGGAACCTTTTGAAATATTTCTGTAGCTTCATCGAAAATGAGAGTCATGTACTCTGAATCAGAGTCTTCCTTGTATTTAATATCGAATGCGTAAAAATGAAGATCAGGACTATACTGTGGAAAAGAGTCCGTCTGTACAGCACTAATGGTTCTAGGTTTACCTGCAACCATAACTGTTTTCCGAGTCTTTGGTAAACTAGGATGATCGTACTTTCCACCAAAGAGTTCACCGTTTAGAAGAACAGTGTGAACTTTTTTCTGCAACTTCTCACATAGCATATCACGGACGAGAGTAATATACTGTTGAAGTTGAGGTATTAAAATATGATAACCAAAAAAATGCTCTGTGGGAGGCATAATACCGCTTCGCTTCGCATATCGTATCATTTTCTCACCTTCAATAGAGTAAATACCAAAGTTAGCACCATGTACCTTCTCTGTAGCAATCCACTCATCATCAAACATTCCAGATGCCTTTAATGCATTTATTCGCCGTTCATTTGAGTTCTCAATTTCTGTATAACGCTCGAACAGACCACCTCCGTTATCAGCCAGCCATAAAACTGTTCTACGGAAGCGCAAAGGGTGCCATCGGCGCAGCATTGCTGCAAAAAACTATGCATCATCACACAAACAAAACAAACACATACAAATATATATATATATATATATATAAACACCATAGGAATTGAAAGAAAAAGAAGAAAAAAAGAAAGTACTTTACTCAGTTTTATCCTTCTTTCCAGAAGAAATAGAAAGAAAATGCACAGAAATATATATACAACCTAGATACTGCCAAACAATCGGCATACCAATAATAATAAAAAGTGTCGTTTGATGTGTTGACCAAGTGGCCAAAGGTATGTGAAAGATACGTAAAGGACGTAATTAGCAATTCACAAAGGAACGTACTGTTTCTTAGAAACCAACCTTATCTTGCTAGGGCAACACACATATACGTCTGAATCTGGGAATGTATTTAGTTTAGCAACATGCTCGGCATATACTGCAAATTGTTTTGAGGAACACATGTAGATAATGTCTTGCAAAACAACAGATTGACGAAGGGCCAGTTCCCTTGCCTTTAGTTCTAAAATGGCATAAGTGGGCATATCATCTGGTGCAATAATGTCACTACCACTGTGCTTCACTGAGGTTGGACGTCTAGCTACAAATCGAGTTGACTCTTGAGTGAGATTTAGTTCTTTCCACATCTGTTGAACAGCATTTGTACCAATTTCATCACCGTCAATAAAGCAATACGCATTACTAGGTTGGCGCTTTGGTTTCAAACCAAGAGATAATTTCACCTGAAGAACCCGTGATATCTCGTCACTCATTAATAACTCTCGCAGAATTCCTTTATCTTTGATACCAGTCTTCTGCATTGCAACAAGTAATGATGTATATGCGCCTTGAGGCACAACAAGTGAATTACTACGGCAAAAGTCGACAATACCGAGAGCGCCACTCTTGTCTATTTCCGAGCTACTGCGGGCGTTACCAACCGACTTGACAATCCACTTCCCCGTATTGTCTGTTTCCACTATAAACATGTTTGGAAAGCTTTGAATGGCGTCCTTGAGTGAGAGGGCACCCACTGCAGATGGCTGGAAGTGCGGCGCCTCATCCTCCAGCATCGCCTGCAGCTGCGCGCCGGTGACCCCCGCCGGCGGTATCTTCGCCGCCACTCCCCGCAGCATCCACTCGGCGGTGTGAGGGGCGGCGGACTGGGCCTGCTGACGGAGGGGGCGCGTGGCAGAAAAGAGGGTCCGCAAAACTAACGACATGAGCTGCACACTAAAGGAAGAAAAGAGAAAAGGAAGAAACGAGGAAGAGGAAGGTAGCATCGCAGAGATACACGCATTCGCTTATACGTATATCAATATATAGATAGATAGATATAAGAATACTTTTCGTTCTTTTCTTTTATTCTGGTCAGAGTGCACGGCGTCAAGCACACTTACCGAGACCCGTACAAAACGACAGAAAAGAGGAAAACAACAACAACAACAAAAAAAAAAAACATCCACAACACAAAAAAATGTATTGCTGTTTCAATATCTTCACCATGCGTAGTATGTATACTCAATCCTGCTACCACACAAGAAAGGGAAAAGGGGTATCGATAACCTACGTGGCAGATGCAGCCAAAAAAAAAAAAGAGAGAGAGAGAGAAACAGAGAAAGATGAAGAAAGAGATCGAAGCCCAATCTAGAGCACCAAATATGCCGCAGGCCAAACCCTACCCACTATAATTTCCACTAGACATGGATAACATGGCTATCAATCCAACATGCATCCTCACTCCCTGTTCCATTGCTGCTTCGCTCATGTGAAAGCGAGAGCTGTAATTATGGTTACTTTGGCAACTGCTACCACTATCTCTAACTCCCAGCCAAAAAAGACATCCAGGTGTTTTTGCCGCATACTCCGAGAAATCTGCGACACCCATCATTGCCGTTTTCAGCGCCACGAACGAAGCACTCCCAACAACACGCTCCGCAACACACTTCACAACTTCATACGCCGCTGGGTCGTTGTACGTCACAATGTTTGGCTCCAGCCAAGTTACTTCGTGCTGGGCGCCGTGTGCCTTGGCAACACCAGCAACGATCTCCTCCACCATACGAGGCACACGTGCCTGAACGTCACGGTCCAGACACCGCAGTGTGCCGCGCAGATGTACACTGTCGGGGATCACATTGTAGCTTCCAGTGCCGCCGTGGAACGTTGACACACTCAGAACAGGAGCTGTCAGCGCACCAATGCGGCGTGAGACGATGGTCTGCAGACTTGTAACAACTTGGGCGCCAATCACAATGGGGTCAATACAGAGCTCAGGCTGAGAGGCGTGTCCACCAGCACCCTTGATCACAATGTCAAAGTCGTTGCATGCGCTCATCATCACTCCACTTCTAGAGAGAACAGTACCTGATGGCTTTGTAACATCAACAGAAAGCCCAAAAATCATCTTCACACCATCAAGTACACCAAGCTCCACCAACTGCTTTGCACCACTTGGGATAACCTCCTCAGCATGTTGGAAGATAAACCGCACAGTGCCACGAATTTTGTCCTTAACTTGACAAAGCACCTTTACAGCACCAAGAAGCATTGCAGTATGCGCATCATGACCACAGGCATGCATTACACCAGGTTTTTTCGAACTGAAGGGCTCTCCACTTTCCTCCTGTAATGGCAGGGCATCCATATCTGCACGCAGTGCGTACATGGGACCCTCTCCAGCACCACCCTGGAGATCTGCGATTACACTGGTTGGTGTTAATCGCTTGATATCAAGAGGTGCTGGCATTTTCCTGAGTATGTCTGCAACATAATCTGCTGTCGGTTGTTCTTCGTGACTCAAGCAGGGGTTTTCATGGATGTAGCGGCGCCACTGCA